CATTATGGAAGAATTTGCAGTACATATTTTAGCTGTATAACTTCTAAAGCAGAATGTGCTCCTTTGTTTTCTAAGAAGATACACAATTTCACAGGAGATACTTCTTGTTATCTGCAATTGCAAATTATTGTTATTTGTTTATTGCTCAGATCATAGTAGGCTTGGTATTTGTGCAGACACAAGAATGCATGTTGAAATCTTAAGCGCATTTTACTTAAGAATGTAATCCTGCTGCTGTTAGTGGGTCTTTATTGTACTATTTATTCTTGAATGGGTGATCACTCTATACAAACTACTGAGGTCAGTGGAAATTTATGGGTTAAAGCACTTAAAGCTCAGTTGCATAAAGTAGAAGCAGCGACATGCCTCACTTTAACATATTTAACTAGATCAATGCTGCCCTCAAGTGGAGAAAAGCCATTTAAAGCACAGCTAGAATCTCCAAAAATTCAGACACCACATCCACATCATACATTTTTAAGCACTGTTATACCTTTTTAACAGTCATGGCTTCCTACAAAGAATCTTAGAAACTTTAATGGTGTTGAGACCAACTCTAAGGACTCTTAACAACTATAGATCCCAGTCCCCCTCTTTGCCTTCATCTCTTCCTCTCCTTGTGACATCACAAGCAGTTTGCAGCCAATGGCAACAGCTGGGGAGACATCATAGTTATCTATTCAGACCTCATAATGGTACGTGGACCTTAGTGGTGATTTAAATGAGTGTTGTTGTTGTTTGAAAAATAGCCCTCTATACAGTGGGTGGAGAAACATCACAAACAGTTGTAGGGGGTGTTCTCCAGCACAAGATCTGCATTCTCTTGTAGGGAACCTTCCATGAGTTGCATGCTAGTGTAGAGCAGGGTCAGAGGCATAGAGAAGTGGAACAGCAAGTGTGACTTTTATCTTCGTACCGTGGGCTCCATTTCAGCTGTGCAGAAGCCATTGTTTTCTATGCTCCCACCCATCTCTCTCAACCCAGTTAAGCAAGAAGCACCATCGCAGTTCATGGAAAACAGACAAAAGTACCTCAGAAGTGTGTGGAACAAGTCTGTTTAGGAAAATGATATGAGGAACTGGAGAGCTGCATTTGGCCCACATTGTAGAGGTTTCCTACTCCTGTCACACTGGGTTGCATCCTTGCTTCCCTTTGGGCTCCTATTCTGCCTCTCATGGGGTTCCACATGAAAACATCTACTGGTCGGTCCCCTCTTTGAGGCACGTCTAGTCACTGCTTGAAGCAGAGCTTCAAGAAAAGGTTTGCGCAGATTTGCACAGATTTGTGTGTCACCAAGAGGGAAAGTTGGGTGTCTTCCAGTACATCAGATTTCACAGCAAGATGACAGGTCAGGGATGTTGGTCCTTGGCATTTGATTGGCATTAAACTGACAAGCATGATTCTGGCAAGCCAATAAAGGTTAATTATACAAAGCTGTGACTGTCAGGACAATTTATGTCCAAGTTGGTAACATTTCATTGGGTTTTGGCATCACAAGAGCATCCCTAAAATGCTGCTGCCCCCAAAATCTCTAATCTCTTTCAAACTTGCAAAGATATATCATCTGTCTGATAATAAGTGTTGGAAGTGTAAGGAGGCTGAAGGAACATTCTTTCACCTCTGGTGGACATGCCCGAGGGTGAAGGCCTTCTGGGAAATGATTTATAATGAGTTGAAAAAGGTATTTAAGTATACCTTTCACAAGAAACCAGAGGCCTTCCTCCTGGGCATTGTGGGCCAGAGAGTGCTAAAGAAGGATAGAACCTTCTTTTTATATGCAACTACAGCAGCAAGAATTCTTTTAGCTAAATATTGGAAGGCACAGGAGCTACCCACGCTGGAAGAGTGGCATACGCAACTGATGGACTACATGGAATTGGCCGAAATGACTGGCAGAATCTGAGACCTGGGAGAAGAGGCAGTGGAAGAGGACTGGAAAAAATTTAAGGACTATTTACAAAAATATTATAAGTTATATGAATGTTGAGAATTTGCTAAGTTTTGGGACAACAAGCTTCAGCAATTAAATTCGATTATGGTGGAAACTAAGTTACGACTGTGAAATGACTAAAGTTTAGAGTAACGTTTTTATTCTTAGGAACGATGGAAAAGTGAGTTAACAACAAGTACCCTAAATCTAAAATACAATTAGATGAAAGTACAAAAACGCATGAAACAAGGTATCAATTTGCTGTTATTTTTCTTTATTGTAAAGGATGCAGGGGGTGGAGGATGTGGGGAAGTCCAGTGGATCATGAAAAACTGTTTGTAAAATGTGAATTTTTTCTTTTTATAATCTTCTTTTCTTCTTTTTTGTAAAGTCGCTTTTGTTGAATTATTGACGATGTATCTGACCTTGGAAAAAAGCAATAAAAAATATTATTAAAAAAAACAAAAACAAAATCTCTAATCTCTTTCCACTCCTTGTGAAGAAAGATCAAATCCTGCTCTACAAGTTCAAGAACAGTTTCAACGAACTTGCAACCTATAGTAGACATTTTGTACATTATAACATGCTAATCTATCAGGCAAAAAAAGAAAGGGTTTGCTTAATTTGGTCACATACACATCTGACCCTAGTCTTATTAAGAAGTTGTTATTGTCAAAACATGTTTAACATACAGCATGCATTACATTCCTTGTTCTATTCTTTAGACCAAGACTTGGGATGATCACCAGTATTCCCTTTTCGCAACACAGAAACTCACATTACAAAAGTTTGTTCCATATAGTAATTAACATGTGACCAACATGTAATTTCCATGCATGATGGTAATCTCTTCAGATGTGTTGGGTTGCATGTGTACATCAGGCATGAAAAAAAAACCTGAAGTGTGGGAATGTCCTCTTACTATTTTGGGACTGCAGAATCTTCTCATCAGCTCTGCTGAGAGACCAGCAGGAACATTTGGCCCTTCATCTCCAAATCTCTTCATCCTAGCCAGTCCCTACAAGGACTAATATCTGAGCTTACTTTTTTCCTTCTCCCTCCTTTTTTTCTTTTGTGTCCTGTCTCTCAGATTGTGAGCCAGAGGGCAGGGTTTGTGTTACAAATCATTACGATTTGTAAGCTGCTCTGGGGCCCTGTTTTGAGTTAAAAATGCTTTTAATCATCATCTTTAACTAAAGGATATCATCAGGTGCCAGAGTCAGGAGAAAGAACATAAGGAGAGCCCTGCTGGATCAGAGCTAAAGTCCTCTTAGACTGCAGTTATATAAACACACTTACTTGGGAGTCAATCTTGTGGAATTACTTCTGAGTAGATCACACTGCTAGTCAAGCATCCTGTTTTCCCCAGTGCTAAGACAGATTCTAGGAAGTCCTCAAAGAGGGGTGGAAGGCAATTATTGCCCTACAGCAATGGGTACTCAGCAGCCTTCTGACTATAGTGGTTCTGACCATAAACTTTCAATTTAGCCACATGACCCATTGGCCTATATTCTACTTTAAAAGCCACCTAAACCAGCAGCTATCATTCACATCCTGTGGCAGTGAATTGAATTCCATAAATAAATTGTGTGAAGACGTGCTTTGCTGTAATTCTTCCCACGCCATTCAGTTTCACCAGAAGACTCTTTAATTCTAACATTATGTGAGCAGCGGAATAAGACCTCTTTCTATTTTGATTGCTCCAGGCAAGCCTTACTATTAGGCAGAGATGCCACATGAGAAAAGGGGGGAGAAGTTGGTGGGGTGTTGGAGGATAGAGCAATACAGGCCTTGTACCCCCTAAGCTAGACTGCTGCCCTCAGGAACTTATGGCCCGATCACTGAAGTTGAAATAAGATTCAACTGCCAGGATGATGAGCACCTGTATTTTCCAGGGGTGGGAGGTGGGGGCCGCGCCATGTTGTCTTCCTCAGGCAGCAAAATGCTTTGGTACAGCCTTACACCTTTTCCACGCTGTACACAATTTTATAAACCTCTTAGCAAAGCAGTAGCAAAACTGGTGACCTCCAGATGTTTTTAGAACAACTCCAGCCAGAATGGCCAATGGTTATGGATGATGGGAGCATGGATGATTATGGCTAACCGCTGCTCTCTCATCTTCTCCCGGCATTATTTGAATTTTTGTTTATTTAAAAGGTGTGCATTGAGCTTTCCTTGTGAGATATAATGTATCTCCTTGTGAGATATAATGTATAATTTCATAGGTCTGTATCTCTCTGGTTCAGAATCCGAACCCACATCTCCCTCTTTTTCCTAAACCTCTGCCTGGTGTTTCATGCCACTAAAAAGGTAAAGAACCCCTGACAGTTAAGTCCAGTCGCGAATGACTCTGGGGATGAAGGCGCTCATCTCGCTTTACTGGCTTAGGGGGTGCAAGGCCTGCATGGTCTACATTGCTCTATCCTCCAACACCCCTGCGTTTGACCGCAGACAGTTTTTCTGGGTCATGTGGTCAGCATGACTAAGCCGCTTCTAGCAAACCAGAGCAACGCATGGAAATGCTGTTTACCTTCCCGCCGGAGTGGTACCTATTTATCTACTTGCACTTTGACGTGCTTTTGAACTGCTAGGTTGGCAGGAGCAGGGACCGAGCAACGGGAGCTCACCCCGTCGCAGGGATTCGAACCACCGACCTTCCGATCGGCAAGCCCAAGAGGCTCAGTGGTTTATACCACAGCGCCACCCACGTCCCCTTAATCCTCAGCAAAGCCTCTCTGGGAACTTTTGATGCCATTTTAAATTTTTCTTCCTTTATTGCGTTTTATTAATTTAATCGCTTTTTCGGAATCCTGGAAATCTTGGAACTGAATGGAACCCGTACGGAAATGTTTTAAACAAGCGAACATTTCAAAACACGTCCAAGGTGTTTATTTTATAAGCCTCCCCCCTGTAATCTCGCGAGCTGAGAGTTAAAAGGCAACGCGAAGTGCGACACATCATCGGCTGGGATCCCTGGCCCCGCCCATCGAACCTCCCATCACCACCTCGAAGTTAAGCCCCGCCCTCTCGCGTCACCGCCTCTGACAGGGCAGCGAGAGCCGTTCCCCAAGGTGGCCGTGAGAGAGAAGGGGGGGCGCTAGGTCACGTGACGGTTCCAATATGGCGGCGCCGTGCCGCTGTCCATCACCACCACCGCCAGCGTTACCTCTGAGGGAGCCGCGTCTCTTCCGGATCGTGGAGCCCAGCTGCGGCCGAGCCCCGTGAGCGCCGCTTCCCGCCCCGCTTGGGATAGACGGCGACGGGAAAGCCTTCAAGCCTCGCGGCGGCCATGCAGCCCCCGGCCCGCGAGGAAGACACCCGCACCAAGAGCATGTTCGTCTCGCGGGCCCTGGAGAAGATCCTCTCCGAGAAGGAGGCGAAGCGGCCCCCTCACGGGCAGCTGCGGAGGGCCTGCCAAGTGGCGCTCGGTGAGTGCAGAGGCCCCCGCAGGCGCCCGGCTACGAAGCTCGGGGCCCTCCCCTCACAGAGGCGCAGCTCCAGGGAGCCCTGTCAAAAGCCCCGGGCGGCGGAGCCCAGGGCCGCTGGCGCTCCCAGCCCGGCCGCCTCGCCCGGAGCTTCGCTATTCTCCTGCGTAAATTTCGCCCCGCGCATAATGCCGCCGAAGGGGAAACTGCTGAAGGTCGCCGAGAGGGCTGCTTCGGAGTGTTTATATCCGACCGTCTCCCAGGCGGTTTAAAGCCCCGCGTCTTCTGCCCACATGGAGATGAGGTCGGCTGGGGGGTGGTGGGGGGGAACAACGACACCTGCCAGATATCTCTGAAACACAAATGCGAACCCCTCTTCTCGGATGTAAAAGTTGGGTTCTGTCTCCACTCCCGCCCCCCTCAAATGAGCTGTCTTCTTTAAAATGTTTTGCCACGTGCATTTGGGAGCCTACCAGCTTCTCTCAAGCTTGAACCCTTGATCTTATTACATGCTTGTTAGTTCCAGTGAGTCCAGCGGAGTTGGCTCCCATTGAGCTTGCCCTCTGTGATTACACAGCTGTGTGAAAAGCAGTGCGATTCCTCTGATTGCAGCCTAGGATCTGGGTTAAAAATTCTCTTCCTTGCTTCCTCTTATTGTGTGTGGGGGGTAGGTGGTTCCCTGAATGAAGTGTGATCTGGGATCTTACTAGGCATGTGCTCTCTGCGTTTCTTCATCTCCCCTCCCTTTAGGCTGTGATCGGGATCCAGTGCCTACAGGACACTCCTGTCAGATCTCCTGGGGACTCCTATCTGTCTTCCCTAGCTGATAATTTTCTGTTTTTAAAGCCTCTCTAGATTTTTTACATGATGAAATAAATTAGAAAAAGTATTTCTGGGAAGTGTCTAATGAATGACTTTGTACACACATGAGTGTAGTTGGTGACAGGGCTTGGCATCAGGTATGCTCGGTAGATTAATTTGCCACGTTGGATACTCCCCTGCTTGTGAACAGGTGACCACGCTCCAGATCTTCTAACAGGAAGTGTCATAATAAATTTTGTGGTCAAGTTTGGTTGTCAAGGGAAAGAGGGAGGTTCCTTTCATTCAGGAAGAGAGAACAAGGTTCACTTTGCTTATCTGATTGTAACATGCAGTACTAATTGCTGTAGATTTCTCTGAGCAATTTGCAAGCCTTTTTACTTATCAGATGGGCAGATTGTGTGCACGTGAAACACTTTTCTATAATATTTTCTTGAATTGTTTATAATTGGTAAATAATGAAATTTGTTGTGAGACTTAAGTACAAAATAGTAGATCAATACTGCCTCACTGAATGGTTTTACAGGATGAAAGAAATTAGATAAATGTTTCTTAGACGTATCTAATGAATGTGACCTTTCTTTAAAAGAAAAGTTAAGAAACATCAACTTGCATTACAAGCAGAGACAGTTTCATTTTGGCTCTATACTTTTTTCTGTGCCAATAAGTCCAGATTGGGGGGGGGGAACAGTTTGACAGCTGCCTTCTCTGTTAGTGTCTTAACTGCATGTTCTATACAAATAGGACATTGGGACTTGTGTCTATTTTTTCTTGGCAAAAATTAGATGTTTTTAAGTAGGCTGAGATGGGATTAAGACTATAATCCTATAACCCTTACCTGGGAGTAAGTACCACTGAATTTGATGAGACTTATTTCTTGAGTAGACATAGGAATGTTCTTTGGCATATCACTGTCTGAATTTAAGTGGCCCATTTGTAAAATAGACATTATTTTGGTCTAATATTTTGAGGATCAAGAAGTGTATTACAAAGCATTCTGTATGTTCAGTCCACCAGTGGTGAAGTACTTAACACTTCAGCCCTATGAAGATATAAATAATTATTTTTAGGTTTAGGGAATGACAACAAGGGAAGCAGATGTGAGATTGCAGCCTTAACCATTCTTACAGTACAACGTGAATTCTAGCAATACCACATGAAATATTTTTCACAGCCCCCAGCTTTCAAAGAATAAAATGAATCTGATATTCAGCCAAAAACAAAAGCATAACCTGAAAAATAATTATATTATGATATAATATACAACATAATTCCTGTGTTTGTTGCATTCATGCAACAATTCAACTCATGTATAAATGTTAAGTATAATACTTTGTTTTGTTCTTTATATGGCTGGTGGTGGGAAGGGAGACAATATGTATTTCCCTACTGTATAAGAGGTATCCAGATTATCATAAGGAGAAAAATGGAAAGGGGGAATTAAGATGATAATGGCAGGAATGCATGTACCACAGCACAGCATGCTTCTGTTGTTTACTATAGCCTCCTCAATGTTCCTTGTACATTTTTAATTGAAGCCTCTGCTATATAGAGCTTATGTTCATTGTGATGATATATGGGCTGGGATACACCAGACAGGAACGTTATTTACAAACTAACTGACAAAACCCTCTATTGACCTGACAGTAGAGTTTTGTCTAAGGGGGGTGGAAATGAGACCTGACCTGAAAATGGGTATGTAAGCCCAGGCAGATCTCACTGTGTGTAAGAGACAGAACAAAATAAGACATAAAATCACCATAGTGAAGGTCTAACATTTAACATACAGTGGTACCTCGGGTTACATACGCTTCAGGTGACACACTCCGCTAACCTAGAAATGGCGCGGCGGCAGCAGGAGGCCCCATTAGCTAAAGTGGTCTTCAGGTTAAGAACAGTTTCAGGTTAACTACGGACCTCCGGAACGAATTAAGTACTTAACCTGAGGTATCGTAAGAGACAAGAAAGTTGCTGGGGCACAATTTAGTAGAACATTCTAAGATAGTGAAGAGGCTTAAACTCTGTTTAGTGCAGGAAGGGAGAAAGATGTGGATTATAAAAGTTTAAGGGTATAAGAGTGAATGAATACAAATTGGGGTGTAGGCAAAAGATAGGTCAGTATCTACTGGTAGATTTGTGCACATTTTGCAGTAGCTTGGCAAGTGTTTCCAAGCTCTAATTGTTTAAAAATAGCAGCAACAGAATGACTTTTGCCACCTAAATTAAGATGAAATGAAGAAAGCTAACCAGGTGTGGACTTTTGTGCTAAAGTACTGTGGAGTCAGTTCCATTCTCTTGCTGAAAACAATGTTGTGGGCTCAGAATGCTCAGAGCATCAGGTTCTTTAATTCTAACTCTGCTTATTGCACAACCTTCTGGTTGGTTCTAGTAAAAAAACAAAGTGGATCCAACAAGCTTGTCTGTCTACCCCCGTTCGACCTGATCAACTGGTTTGTCTGACCTGAAACATACATGTATTTGCCAGGAAATTAATAAGAAAACATCTGAAGGGTTATTTGCATGGTTGTGATACAGCAGTCCATTTTTATTCTTATTTTTTTACACTGATGAGGAGGTGACTAGATATGGACAGGTGCCACTTTGATAGGTACCGTATTTTTTGCCCTATAGGACGCACTTTTCCCCTCCAAAAATGAAGGGGAAATCTGTGTGCGTCCTATGGGGCGAATAGAGGCTTTCGCTGAAGCTTGGAGAGGGAGAGGGGTCAGATAGCAGCCTGCCGCCCGGCGCACGAGACGCCCTGAAGCAGAATGCCCCACGTGCCGGGCAGACATCGGCCAGCCCCACAAGCTCGAGGGACAGCAGGGAGGCGCAGCGCCGCCATCCCGCTGTTCCCTGACCTGGTTTGGGGGGGGGGCAATTAAGGAAAACATTTTTTCCTTTATTTCCCCCCCAAAAAAACTAGGTGAGTCCTATGGGACAGAGCGTCCTATAGGACGAAAAATATGTTATTTGTTTCAGGTTTATTGAATACATACAAAAATTAATTTATAGTGACTTAGAATTAAGCCAGAAGTAGAAGCCAGCAAGGTCTTGGGAGAAAGCTACTGGGAGGGACAGAAAACTGACCACTGAATCATTTTAAATTAATATTAGTTTAAAGAGACTCTAATTTCTAGCCTATTATATAAAGAAAGGGAGCATAACAACTTTATACCGTATGTTAATAACCTCTGCTCATTACACTGAAGAATAGTATGCTGATTGTCCAGAATAGGTAGCAGGGCAAGACTCATTTCCAGTAAATAATTTTCACCAACATTTAAGAAGTCAATCATAAAGTTTCCCACATCAGCTGCACTGTACACTTTATGCTGTAGGTTAATTTATTATTGATTTAATTTTGTACTGCCTAATATATAAATGATATACAAAAACTGAAGCAACAATATACAACTTAAACAAAATATTGCAAAAGCACAAAGTTACATATTTCAACATATTTTTCCTAAATATTTGTTTTTACTTACTGGAACCTTTACAGGATATAAAATGTCTCTTAAAATGTACCAAAAAATGCTAGCTAGTTCACAGTCACTGAATGGCATTTTCATATAACTTACAGTTTTCAGTCATAGCCACTTTAAACTTTTTATTTTATTATGTTAAAGGATGTAGCTACTAGGGATTACCACTGAAATTGTTATAGGTTTTTCAAATAACAAATTGTGCTATTAACGCCTTACTTGGTTATGGGTGTTTCTTGAAAAGAATTGCTCTTTACAATTTGTTTCAACGGCATATGCTGTATTTAAAATTGCTTACCCCAAACGCTGCCACGTAATGTTATCCTGTACTATGGCTATGGCAGATCACTCCTGGTTAAGGAATTAATTGTAGGTGAGATTGCAGTTTTCTTATCTACAGTTCCGCAGATTCGGGAAGGAAGATTTTAGGGAGTTTTGCTTAAGTTTGTTGTTGCAGTAACTTTTTCCTTCTTTGCAGTTCATCATTCTTTCCTCATGAAATACTTTTCTGTGAATACATTCTACTTACCGGTACACTGTAGAAGCTCCCCAGTTTCCCAGTAGCAACTGGAATTGAATCAGGGGCAGGAAGGGATAACAATTTTTGTTCCAAAGTAAATCCTGATTTAGAACTATTGGACCTGGGGCCACAAAAAAAGTTTGTGTCTTATTTTTAAAATTTGTCAGTTGCCTCACAGATCTTTATTTCATAAGGAACAGGAGGTTTTGCTCTCATTTAGAAGCAGTCATTATGTAGAACCTCTAATTTCTCCAATTAACAGTTGCTACTGGATATAATAATTATTTCTGCAAAGGACTGCTTGTTGTGGCCTGTAACCGAACCCAGTAAATTTGCAAGTGTTTGACAATGTATAATTAGCTTCCTGTTCCTTCCCCTGTAACGGGGCTGGGGAATATCAGACCTGGGGCCATTCAGCCCTTCAAGTCATATCCCTCACCAGTTCTGCTCTACACTCTGCCTGAGTACTTTTGCTGGGCTGGATTGTGCCTTCGAGTGATGCTAATGCCCCTTGCTTCCCTCTATGGAGGATGCAGAGATACAGGTCAGTGTGTAGAAACTGCTGAGTTTTGCACGTCTGGAATACCCTACTGTACAGTCTCATCTGCTCCTCCACCCACTCTTGACTCTGTCCACCAGTAGCAGGTATTCCCCAGGAAGTTGTCAAGGAGGCTTCAGTCTGAAAAACATTCCCAGCTGCTTCCTATAGATCTCCACAGTTTTTCCCAAATCTTCCTTTTTGTCTCCCGTTCTTTCCTTGCAAATATCACATGGTATTTAATAAAACGGTCTGCATATAGAAGTGGGCTATAGCAATCTCTTCTTCTTAGCCAAGTTGTATGTCTAAAAGGGGTTGTTTCTGATAACACTTAATTTTGAGCATCTAATGGTACCCTGAGAAGTGGGCATTGAGCAGAATAGAAAACAGGTGGAAGAAAAATGTTTTGTTTCTGAATTTTCTTTCTTCCCCTTCTCTTGTCATAGGATTTCCTTCATTGGAGCATGTGTATGGGATTTTTATCAGGAAAAAGGAGGGAAATATTTAAATCACACCCAGCTGTTCCAAACAAATTGACCTCCCAACAAGTTAAAGTTTGGAGAGCAGTCTGACCTGCCAAACTGGCTTGTCTGTTAGAGGAGGGATTTTGATATAATTTATAACTTTTTTCTTGTGGGAGTAGAAGCCAGCAGGAGAAGACAAGGCATTTGTAGTTCCCTGCCTGCATTAATATTAACTGCCTTGCACAACTGGATGGAGTGTGAGTGTGTGTGAATAAAACTGTTGAAGCCTGGAGGAAACCAACATTTAGTAAAGGGAATCTTGTGTAATGCTTTCCCCATTATGGCAGATACGTTTTTTCCCAAGCTGCTGATATCTCAGGTTTCCTAGCTTCAGTTCTGACTTAAATGTTACTGTGTAATCTCTTGCAAAGTACTGTAGTTTTAAAATCGCCCCGGACAGCGGAGGACTTCTCCGCTGTCCGGGGCGATTTAAAAGCCCTCCCGGGAAGGCAGCCAGGGGGGACAAATATTTTCGCCCCCCGCCAGCCTTCCCCTCTTTTGAAGCAAGGGGCGGCAACGGGGAGAAGATCGCTTCTCCCCTTTGCCGCCCCTTGCTTCAAAAGGGGTCCGGGGGGAGAGAGAGGAAGGCGCGTGCCTTTCCCTCTGTCCCCTCTTTTGAAGCAAGGGGCGGCAACGGGGAGAAGATCGCTTCTCCCCTTTGCCGCCCCTTGCTTCAAAAGGGGTCCGGGGGGGGGAGAGAGGAAGGCGCGCGCCTTTCCCTCTGTCCCCTCTTTTGAAGCAAGGGGCGGCAACGGGGAGAAGATCGCTTCTCCCCTTTGCCGCCCCTTGCTTCAAAAGGGGTCCGGGGGGAGAGAGAGGAAGGCGCGCGCCTTTCCCTCTGTCCCCTCTTTTGAAGCAAGGGGCGGCAACGGGGAGAAGGTTTGCTCAGAGATTTCTTACTGGACTTTCAATGTACTCTTCCCCTGCCCCTCATCAAAATTATATTTTATTGATTTGTTAGCCAAAAAAAAAAAAAAAAGGTGCAAGCTTAACAAAAAGAAAGAAAACAAAGTCCATTTTTGTAAAGCATCGCAACCTGGAAGGACAAAAGTACAAAGATACAGCACAGCTCCAAAGGGATAATAAAGTACTAATGTAGACAATTCCCTTTACAAAACAGTAAAGATATGTAAAAATAGAGGTATTCTCCACCTGTGACTTTTGTGATTTTTGAGTCTAAAGGGTCTATAAAGTCATGGGTGAGCCAAGCATTTAAATATACTGGTCAGTAATCATGTTCCTCCTCTGTACCTACAGTTAATCACCCAGAGTTCAGTTCTGGAGGGTGACAGTTAGCACTGCTGTATCATTTCTGCCCACCTAGCAGTTCGAAAGTACTTCAAATGCAAGTAGATAAATAGGTACCACTCCAGCAGGAAGGTAAACGGTGTTACCGTGCACTGCTCTGGTTCGCCAGAAGCGGCTTAGTCATGCTGGCCACATGACCCGGAAGCTGTCTATGGACAAACGCCGGCTCCCTCGGCCTATAGAGCGAGATGAGCACCACAACCCTGGAGTCGTCTGCGACTGGACCTAATAGTCAGGGGTACCTTTACTATCATTTTTGAGGTGAACAGCAGCAGAAAAAGTGTCAGTAAAAGTTGATGTAGCCAGCAGTACTACTTATTTAAGAAATTTTTTTTGCAGATAGTTTTGAAATTCCCCACAATTAAATAGTTTTTGGGTTGTGTTATCTGCATGTCTGGAACAGTATTTAAATTACAACATAAATGGGAAAGGAAAATTATTTTGGGCAAACATGGGCACTGAATCACAACACTAGGGGAATATTTGCTAAGCTTTCGTTTAAGTGACACAAGTGGTTTATAAAAAATAAAATGTATTTGGAGCAGATACTATTCTAACCAATATTTTGCTTCAAGAGGAAAATACAAAACATTTAGTTTTTTAACTCGCTGTTTCTGCAGTAACTGTCATTAGTTTTTCCATAAGGAATATAAGGGCAGTGTGGCAGGATAAGTGCTAGTAAACTTGGCTCTCTCCACATATTTTTGACTACAACTCCCATTATGCCTGAGCATTGGGCCATGCTGACTGGGGCTGATGGCTGTTATAGTCTGCAACATCTGGAGACCACCACATTGGCTATCCGCATTGGCAAAGTTAATGAGAGAAGTAAATTCAGATATCCGTTTAGTATAAATAGTACTTTGTTATTGATTCTCAAAAGTGCATCTGGCAAAATTTGTCAATTATACATGACATAAAAATGTGTTTTGAGATAGAATGGTAATACATATATCATTGCTGGTTTCATCCACTTTTTTACCAAGTTATTGGCTTTTGTCTTATATTGGCATCTGTGTATAGTATAAGTCTGCAACATAAACCATTTGTTCTGTTTTTCTCCCCAGATGAAATAAAAGCAGAATTAGAAAAGCAAAGGTGAGTAAGTGCTGGTGACTACACGTATAATATAAAAACACCTAATATGCAGGTGTATGTATAATTTATCTGGCTGCTTCAGGTAACACTCTTTAAGGTAACGCATCACAGCAACACAACAAATGTCCCTCTAGCTGTAGAACATTTTCTTTTGGATGAACATGTTTCCGGCTCGCTTCTAGGCAAGAGTTGAGTGGCAGGGACAAAAAAAAAGGGGCTTTGGATGTGGTAAGACCTTCTGAAGCTGCCCCAGTACAGTTATTTGCAACTGTGTCTCTTGGGAAAAAATGGAGAATTTGGAAGAAAATGTACAAGTTTAGGAAATCCCTGTGGCTATGAGTGGCCTAAGTAGAATTAATTGTATTTCAGTTGCAAGTAACGACTTCCCAAAGATATTGTTTTACCACTTCCTTTCTTCTCAACTGGATTTTTCTTTCATTGCTTATGACATGGCAGTTCTCTGCTAACAGAACCTCCACTTCCTCTCTTTAGATCTCTTTTGCATATGTTCCATAATGTATGCGTGTAATTGGCTTGGTCAGAGATACCAATCTGCATGATTAATGAAACCCAGCTCTAATCTGTTGGTGTTCAGATGTCTCTCTGATGTTATCGGATTAGAAAATTACTGTAGTTCTGTTTTCTGGATCTCTGTTTCTTCAGTGGCATGCTGTGCCTGGTGCAAACACAAGTTCATTATACTTTGGGAAGAATCCTAATGATTTTCGTCTATTGTTCTGTGTTAGTTTTCCAAGCCACTGTTGGTCATTTTCCACACTGGATTTCTGTTGTGATGTAGGCTGGGGTGGGGGCTTCTGTTTGTCTTACCCCAACACAATCTAGAAATTCAGTGCTGAGTCATGTACCTATCGCCAAAGAAAGAAGTTACAGTGGTACCTCGGTTTAAGAACAACCCTGTTTAAGAATGATTTCATTTACTAACTACGCAAAACTGGAAATAGTATCCTGGTTTGAGAACTTTACCTTGGTCTAAGAATGAAATCTGAACGGTGGAAGGGCACTGGTGGCGGGAGGCCTCATTAGGGAAAGCATGCCTCAGTGTAAGAACAGTTTCGGTTTAAGAACGGACTTCCGGAACAGATTAAGTTTGTAAACTGAGGTACCACTGTACTGTTTTGGAGGTAGCTTGACATGACTTTCATCATCTTTTATTCTGCAGAAAAACATTAATAAGCATTTCCACTATATTTTTCTAGATAGATACGTGTGCTAACCATTCCCTCCTTATGTTTCAAAAGAAGCTTAGACACTGCATGCTATGTGGGAATATTCCAGTGCTTCTTAAACATACTGTGAGAAGTAGCTCTTAGCAAGATTTGATGGTTGGCCTTGCAGTAGCAGGATCCATTGACATTTTCTGCCTCCTGAAACTTAATAATCTTGAACCCAATGGTTAAAAATACTTAAATATAAAGATATCTTAAAAAAAAATGCTATACAAAAACATACATACAAATATGTCATTCCTATGTAACATATGACCTATTAGGGATTAAATTTCATTCCTTATAAGCTATATTTGATCTTGGTGCTGAAAAAGCATTAAATTATTGAATCTTTTAATTTTATCCATATATGTCATAAAAGGAGACCATAATCTTTCAAATTGTTCTTGTTTTTATCTCCCTTCCTTCATTTTAACTTTTAAGCCAAAAGGGAATGAATCCATGAGAAAACTTCGCATGCTCAAAAATTTCCACACTGATATATTTAAAAAGTACCATACTTAATTTTATTAGCTACTACTTCTTGACACATCCATTCATGCAGTGCAATTGGATGTTGTTTTTCCAATTATTTAGACTGTGATCTTGAAGTACATGCATGCAAGAATGACTTCCTCAATAGTCTTTCATCAACCGAAAAATAAAGTGGCTTTGTACTTGAGGGAGGAGTTAAACCAAGTTGCTGTTAAGAGTGAGACTATAGAGAGAGCGTGTCTGCATATATATAATTGTGTGCTGATTTTTGACAAGCATGGACATTGGAGACTGTGGTCCTAGGTTTCAATACTTTACATGCTTGCTGACAAACTTGCTGCCAGTTAGGTATGGTGGATATTAGCCCTTGCCATCTTGTTGTAAGAGGTGTGCAGCAAGGCCAACTACTCAGAGTTGGAAATAGTTATATATGTTTGGAGATAGGACATGCATTGCTTTCCATGCCTTAGAAAGGAATGTATCAATGGCTTTTATGTTGTGTGTTCTACGTGGATAGGTAATTAATATGAAAGCCATTGCTCAGTTTATAACACTGAGTGATTTTGTTGTTGTTTTCAATTTTTCTAACTAGCCAAGGCAATGAAACCACTTCAAAAGCAAACTTCATTGAAGCTGATAAATATTTCCTCCCATTTGAGTTGGCCTGCCAGTCGAAGTCCCCACGGATTGTCAGCACCTCATTGGACTGCTTGCAGGTATCCTTTTTAAATTAAGTATTTATCAACCTTGGCTGTGTTTATTTTGACAGTGTCCTCTAAATTTTATGTTGAAGCAGATGCATGTATGTATATGTATATATTGTTAGACTGCAGACAGAATTGAGAAGCTACTTTATTTTGTCATCCTTTCCCTGCCTCCAAAGTTCTTTAAAACATCTGTTACAGGTTTTATTAGTAATTGTTCCACGCTCACCCCTCCTCAGCTTTGACATATTTTAAGACATTCCTTACACTTACCATCAGCCTCTTTGGAACCTGCTAATGAAGCTGTCCTGCATTTTGAATCCTCCAAATGACATGGAAAGTGTTTCATGTGTGAAAGTGATTATAATACAATTTTCTCTCTCTCTCTGTAGAAACTTATTGCATATGGACATATCACTGGCAATGCTCCAGACAGTGGAGCTCCTGGAAAACGCCTGATTGACCGCATTGTTGAAACAATCTGCAATTGCTTTCAGGGTCCTCAGACTGACGAGGGAGTGCAGTTACAAATTATAAAGGTATTTTATTTTGATTTATATTTTAGAAAGGCTGTTTGTTAATAAGACTTTTGCTTAGTCTATGCTTTCTAAATGGAGGAGGCTCTTCCTTTTATCTTCCAGTTAGAGAATCCCCAAATCTAATTTTAAAAGGCTGTACAATTTATCCCTTCCTGCACCATACTATGAAAATTAAATTAACTACCTCTTGGTAAATATGAACTCATATCTTATTTAAGTAGCCATTTCTTCCTAGACCACAGAGCTCTGTTAATGGATTTGAAATGTTTTTCTGCCAAATGCTGCCCATTTCTCCCTCTCCTTCACCCAACTTAGCTTTCTGCAAATTGCATGTTGTGTACTAGCTAAAGATTATTTACTGAAGCTCCAGTACCTTATTTCTCATTTGAGATCTAATTTTCTTAATAACTCGTGGCTATTGACTGACAGGGCTTAGCTTGTAAGTAAATTTGTATTGCATTTGATTGTAGTAGTAGTGGCGGCAGCAGCAAATATTCATTCATTCATTCATTCGTTGTACCCCTCCCATCTGACTGGGTTAACTCAGCCACTATGGATGGCTTCCAACAAAATATAGTGAAACACAGCAAAACATCAAAGATTAAAAGCTTCCCAAAACCGGACTGCCTTCAGATGAAAAGTTATATGATTGTTTATCTCTTTGACATCTGATGGGAGGGCGTCCCACAGGGTGGGCACAACTACTGAGAAGGCCCTCTATGTGGTTCCCTGTAACTTCACGTCTTGCAGTGAGGGAACCACCAGAAGGTCCTTGGAACTGGGGTTCATTGTCCAGGCTGAATGATGGGAGTGCTGGTGCTCCTTCAGGTGTATAGGGCCTACAACATAGGATATGGCATTTACATTTTGCAAACATTCTTTTTGCTGATTGTAGCAATGTAACAGGTCTCTCCAAAACTTATTGACAATAAAAGGTTTTACTGTAAACAGTCAATTGATTTGAAATCCCTCTGTCTTTTAAATCGGCAGGATGATGTACTGCAGTAAAATTTAGTTTTAAACACTTAACACATGAGGCCTGAGCTAGATATAACATGCTGTTGTATGCATTTTTATGTGTGAGGAAAACATCTGGGAGCGCTAAGAGGAAAAATGGCTGGAGCAGAAGCAAACAGCTCCCCCTCCCGTTCTATCACATTCATTCTTTCTGCAGCTGCTTTTGATTTAAAAGAGAGAAACTCCTCATGAATGAGACATACACATGACTGTGTGTCACATGTTCTGGCATCTTGGATATTCCTTGGATATTCCTTGGTAAATTTCCAGATTCTGTAACAACTATTAGCAAAGAGATGCTTACAGCACAAGGATATGCATGTCTATACAGTCACTTTCGAATGCAATGAGAATTATTCCCTGGTAAATCATGGAATTGTAGCGTTGGAAGGGATCTCACGCATCATCTAGTCCAACCCCCTGCAATGCAGGAATCTCAGCTAAAGCATCCATGACAGATGGCCATCCAGCCTCTGCTTAAAAACCTCCAAACTCTCTTCATAATCTCCCAAGGGAGTCCGTTGCACTGTCAAACAGCTCTTACTGTCAGAAGGGTCTTCCTGATGTTTAGTCTGATGTGTAAGGCGCCATCTTAGAATGCAGGGGAAAGCAGATTTTAGGAGTTGTGTAGAGGAGACATTCTCAGACAATAAAAGCAAAACAGTGGGGTTCAGTTTTGAACAACAAATAGGGAAGTTGATATACATGTCGGTAGTGTGTTTTGAAATCCACTTGGCTTAAAGAAGCAGAACATTTGAAGAGGAAAATGTGAAGGTTGTGTCTTCTGCTTGTAAGCATCATGAGCTCCAAAGCAAAGTAACAGTATGTCATCTTTGACAAAAATACAGCCTAAAATAGTTTTTGAGTAGAAACTTGTGCTATCCCTAGCAAGAGGTCACGCCTGCCCATAGTGTCCCCCTCTCCTGATCCTCATACTTTTAGAAAGGAGGATGTCGGGTTCATTTGCTGCCAAAAACATTGTGAATGTTTCCCTTAATCTTTGGTCAAAGACTGCTTTTTTCTCAGTAGTGCTATAAATTGCCAGTACTGCTACTATAATACTTTTTATTAATTTTAACTTATGGGACTGTGGGAAGGCAAGAGCCATGCTGACCTTATGACTGACTGTTCGTTGTTCAGAGCACTATATTTAAATAAGTTTTGTTCCCATTTGCTTAGATGTCTTTATTGTGGTGTATGTTGTGTTTCCCCCTCCAGGCTCTTCTCACCGCTGTCACGTCCCCGTATATCGAAATTCACGAAGGAACAATCCTTCAGACTGTTAGAACTTGTTACAACATTTATCTAGCCAGTAAAAATCTCATTAATCAAACAACTGCCAAGGCTACTCTCACTCAGATGCTGAATGTCATTTTCACCCGGATGGAAAACCAAGCTGTATGTAGTAAATGTTTATAAATCTGACTTTTATGTACATCATTTAATTGTTATATTACTGCTCCTTCTCTTCTGAGCTATTGTCAACTGATTCACATTTGTAAGCATGTTGCAGGCTTACAAGCTCCCTCTTCCCCACTTGCATGCCAATTATCTCCTCTCTTTTCTGGTTTGTCTTAACCATAGTTCACCATGAAGTCTCAATCAGGCAGACCATAGTTAGCATCAACCAGGAATTCCTGCTAAACCATGGTTTGCAAAACTCACTTCAAGCCATGATTTCACATCCATAATTTGGAGGCAATTCCTAATTTGTGCTGACCATACTAGACCTTGTTCAGACATCAAAGGAAATAGCAAATCAGAAAGAAGAGGAAGGACTCTTTCTCAATTTTGATGTTACATTCTAGTCCTCCAATCTGTGATTTAGAGTAGGGTGGAGAACCTGTGGTGCTCTAAATGTCGTTGGACTCCCAACACTCCAGCCAGTATGGCCAGTGGTCAGGGATGATGTCGTCCAACAACATTTGGAGAACTACTCTTTTCCCATCCTTGGCTTAGAGAATAAGGACTCTGCTGTGTTGTGAGCTCACAGGTGATCTTTTATCATGAACATTGTATATGCCCAGCTACTTCTTTGTTGTACTGTGGTTCTGCCTTGCTGAGATTCCTCTCCAAATATGAGGAACTTTGCAAGCAAAGACAACTGTCCTTCTTGTTTCAACTGTCCTTCTTGTTTCAGAGGTTGGATTTAAATTATATAATTTCCTTAAAATCTGTTTTCATTAAATATTTATAGTCTGTACCATGTAGACTTAAATTTTCTGTATGATGGAACTCCAAAGTCATTTTGGGAAATAACCCTTACTGTCTTACATAAATGTTAAAACTGAAGGCCTCTGTATTGAGCTGATGCAATAGGAAGGTGTGTGGTTTTTGAAGCATGCTGCATTATTTGGTTCTGCCCCCTATTGACTATTACTTTGTTACATACCTGATGAATACAGTATGTTTCTATCTTGGTTGTTTAGATACAAGAGGGAAGAGACCTGGAAAAATCAAATCAACAAAAACCCCAGTCTCCGATGATTCATAGTGCTTCAGGGTCTCCCAAATTTGGCCGATTGAAATACAGCCAGCATGGAAGCAGACCCTCGACTCCTGTCAAAACAGACTTGACTAATGGTGAGCCTGAAAGAAAAGAAAATGGAGACCAGAAACCAGAGGACAGTTTGACACCACCTGTATTCGGTAAGAAAGCTTCCTGTATTGGGGCTGACTTAGCTTATCAGCCATAGTTTTATGAAGTTGTGCTCAAGTTTGTTATGTGCCAGTTTCAGCACAAAGATCCTGGTTTAGCTTAAGCTGGACCGTTGTGTTACATCCAGGGAACTCTGGCATAATATTAGGTAACGGATCAGGAAAATAAGTCAGGATCTGGCACTAAGCCTGGGTTCTCTGGTTCAGATGTAGCAGAGAGCTCCAGCTTAATGCAAGGCAGGGGTTTTCTGTTGAATCTGGCATGGGATGGAAGGATAGGGGAGCTATGGTTTGGCAGCATTCAAACAATCTTCCAAGGCTTTACAAAGTAAAGTGATATGTCTACAAGGATAATGCTGATTTACACTTCCTCTTAAGATACTCTCATATACCTGAGAGCTGTTACAGCAGGGATGGGGAAGCTATGGGTCCTTCAGATGTTGTTGGATCCTAACATCTGTATTCTCTTACCATTGACCATTTGGGCTAGTGCTGATGGGATCATGAGTCCCACCCTGTTTTATGATATTCCCTTTTAAAATGGTTATGCAGTCACTTTCCTTTTATTGCCTGTATCACTTGCGTGGGTGGCGCTGTGGGTTAAACCACAGAGCCTAGGGCTTGCTGATCAGAAGGTCAGTGGTTTGAATCCCCGCGATGGGGTGAGCTCCCGTTTCTCGGTCCCTGCTTCTGCCAACCTAGCAGTTTGAAAACAAATCAAAGTGCAAGTAGATAAATAGGTACCGCTCTGGCGGGAAGGTAAATGGCGTTTCCGTGCGCTGCTCTGGTTCACCGGAAGTGGCTTAGTCATGCTGGCCACATGAGCTGGAAGCTGTCTGAGGACAAACGGCGGCTCCCTAGGCCAGTAAAGCGAGATAAGCCCCGCAACCCCAGAGTCGTCCGTGACTGCACCTAACAGTCAGGGATCCCTTTACCTTTACACTTGCCAAAAAATGACTCAAATTGCCTCTGATCCCAAACTTTAGTACTTGTTGCTTCATCAAACCTTTCAGCAGCAGGCTGGCTATTTCTCAAAGCCTTGCAGCTCGAAGCAGTGTAATTTATCTGTAGGTATCTCTATCAAATTGCAGCTTTTTGTGCCAAATGTTAGTCTAATGGAATTGGGCATCGTTAAAAAGTATGTTGGATAGGGAATGGTTGACAAAAAACCATGCAAGGCAATTTTTTTAAAAAACGAATCAATCACAATAAACAACTGCTAGATTTTCCAGCTTATTGGATGCCGTGATTTGTCAAGATAGCTAAAAGCATTCATTTGTGTAGCTATAGGGCAGGTATGGCTCACTTGTGGCCATCTAGATGCTGAACTTCAAGTACTGTTGCTAAATAGGACTCTATTTGTTGAAGACTAATCTACAGATTGCAGCATCAGAAAAAAGAGAGAGAATAAATTTTAATTATGAGACCAAGCTAATTGTGTTAAGATAAAAACAATATTTTCACATAGCGGTAATATTAATCCTGATAATCTCTCTATTAAAATGTAAAATTTTCTATTTTGATTCCTATTTCTTGTTGGTTGAAGTATAATAAGTAGTTTGTCACCTGCTAATAGATCTCACTTCCTAGCTCAAAATCTTGAACGTTATCTCATTTTTTAGTGGATTCTAATTGCCAACATTTATTTTTAAAAGAGCATATAGCAGAAAGTATTGTATTTGGCATCAAATATACCGTATTTTTCGCACCATAGGACGCACTTTTTCCCTCCTAAAAAGCAAGGGAAAATGTGTGTGCGTCCTATGGAGCGAATGCAGGCTTTCGCTGAAGCCTGGAGAGTGAGAGGGGTCGGTGCGCACCGACCCCTCTCGCTCTCCAGGCTTCAGGAAGCTATCCACTAGCCGTGGGAGACCCAGCTCTCCCACGGCTAGCGGAGCGCTGCATTAATCCCGAAGCTTGGGGCGTGCGGAGCTCAGCGCGCCCCAAGCTTCTGGGTGCCGGCAAGGTCTCGCTAGCCCTGGGATAGCCCCGCGACGTTGCGGGGCTCTCCCAGGGCTAGCGAAGCGCCGCGCTAATCCCGAAGCTTGGGGCGTGCAGAGCTCAGCGCGCCCCAAGCTTCTGGGTGCCGGCAAGGTCTCGCTAGCCCTGGGAGAGCCCCGCGACGTCGCGGGGCTCTCCCAGGGCTAGCGAAGCGCCGCGTTAATCCCGAAGCTTGGGGCGTGCGGAGCTCAGCGCGCCCCAAGCTTCTGGGTGCCGGCAAGGTCTCGCTAGCCCTGGGAGAGCCCCGCGACGTCGCGGGGCTCTCCCAGGGCTAGCGAAGCGCCACGCTAATCCCGAAGCTTGGGGCGTGCGGAGCTCAGCGCGCCCCAAGCTTCTGGGTGCCGGCAAGGTCTCGCTAGCCCTGGGAGAGCCCCGCGACGTCGCGGGGCTCTCCCAGGGCTAGTGAAGCGCCGCGCTAATCCCGAAGCTTGGGGCGTGCGGAGCTCAGCGCGCCCCAAGCTTCTGGGCGCCGGCAAGGGCTAGCGGAGACCTTGCCGGCGCCCAGAAGCTTGGGGCGCGCTGAGCTCCGCACGCCCCAAGCTTCGGGATTAGCGCTCCGCTAGCCGTGTCTAGGCTGCGGATAGCAGCCTGCTTCCCGGAGCGTCGGGCGCCCTGAAAGCAGAGCTCCAGGCGCTTCGGGAACACATCCGCAGCGTGGGGAGCCTTGCAGGAATTCCCCACAGGGCTCCCCACGCTGCGGATAGCAGCCTGCTGCCTGGCGGGTGGGGCGCCCTGAAGCAGAGCGCCCCTCGCGCCAGGCAGACATCCGCAGAGTGGGGAGCCTTGCAGGAGTTCCCCACAGGGCTCCCCATGCTGCGGATAGCAGCCTGCCGCCCGGCGGGTGGGGCGCCCTGAAGCAGAGCGCCCCTCGCGCCAGGCAGACATCCGCAGAGTGGGGAGCCTTGCAGGAGTTCCCCACAGGGCTCCCCACGCTGCGGATAGTAGCCTGCCGCCCGGCGCGAGGGGCGCCCTGAAGCAGAGCGCCCCTCGCGCCAGGCAGACATCCGCAGCGTGGGGAGCCTTGCAGGAGTTCCCCACAGGGCTCCCCACGCTGCGGATAGCAGCCTGCCGCCCGGCGGGTGGGGCGCCCTGAAGCAGAGTGCCCCGCGCGCCAGGCAGACATCAGCCAGCCCCACAAGCTCGGGGGACAGCAGGGAGGCGCAGCGCCACTATCCCGCTGTTCCTCGACCTGGTTCGGTTTCCCTGACCTGCTTTTGGGGGGGAAATAAAGGGGGAAAATTTTCCTTTATTTCCCCCCCAAAAAACTAGGTGCGTCCTATGGTCCGGTGCGTCCAATCATGCGAAAAATACGGTAAGTTCTTTCAGCTATCATCCATTTGACAGATATTCTAGGAAATGATTGACATATTGGCCCAATTTAATAATAACTGACTGCACCAAAACTGATATTTTTTTTCTAGGATGACTGAAGTAAATACTCTGAATCCCAAATATTTGTTCCCATGTGTCTTTCAGTGGGAAGTAAAAATTCTACAGTGGTGGGACTTGTTTAATAGCCATTGTAGCCCTTATTTTACTGATACAAACACAGTTTTAGCCTTTGAAACTGACACCAGGTGAGTCTAAGTGCCTTGGTGTTCTACAAAGCATTCTCTGACATAGCAATGTTACCATACTGTGCTACTTGATTCTTCAGCCTTGTGAACAGCTTGATCAAAATGGTTTTTCAGGTGACTTCCATAATAGCTAAGAACCACTGGAACTTAGCCATCCTTAAAAGAGAAGCACAGAGCAGAATCAAATTTCCCCTAAGATCTAGCTCAAAATATAACATGCTTATCTAGTGAACTGACTTCCTGCTATGTAGAGGCTCTGTTAAGGCCTGACACAGGTCTCAGTTTGGCCCACGAGGTAGTTTTCCCCACAGCCACCTGATGCCCTGCATCCAGGTGAAGATGCATTTGCAGGGAACATTTGGAAGCCTTAAAATGCTTTTGATAGTTCCTTGGCAAGTCAGGCTTGCTGTCAGTGCCGATCAATTAATTGGTGGTGACAAGAGACCTGCTGGAATCTGCTGCTGTGTAGAGTTTCCCTTTGGAAACTCTATGGTTCTGTCCATACATTCCCATAGCAAGCTTGCTGTAAATGTCAAACAGCTTTAGGGCTCCTGTGTGAAATAAGTCTAAATATCTCTAATCAGCTTTTCCTAACCAGGGCTTTGTGCTCTCTCTGTGTGTGTGTGTGTGTGTATGTGTGTACACACACACACACACACACACACAACACTTTAAACCTAATCTCTGATCTTATGCAAATTGTTGAAACCATCTTTTAAAAGGAGAAGGCTAAATCGCAACATTTTTCAAATGACTTATTGATATATGTTTTATCAGAAGAAGAAACTGATGAAGGCAAAGAAATTGTTAAAGGAATCTTGGAGGATGTGGTGACATCTGCAGTTAGAGGTAAAATTTCTTTGGGGAAGTCTCTGTCTTTCTTCATCCCTTTCCTAAGAGATTGACTCATTCTTAAAACCTTTCCTCCAAGACTGCAAATCCTGAGAAAAGTATATTAGTGTTCTGTGCAGGAGTAGCGTTAGTGACTTGCCACCGATAGGATTCTAGATCTACTAATCTCCCATATATAAGATAGGATAAGTACTATCTAATCATTTAGCAATACTTTCCCCCCTTTCTTTTAGCTGGTGTGAATGAGATTATATATCGCGGACGCTGTTTATAAAAAAAATACTGCATTTCCTCCCCTCCTGCAGCTTCTTTAGAAGAAGAAATGAAAAAACCGTCTCTTCCTGAATCGGTTAGGATTTTATCTGACTTGGCAAGTGCAGTTCCTGCCTCTCCTGGTGGTATTAATGAAAACACACAAGCAAATGGAATTCCTGATGATAGACAGTCTGTCTCCTCCACGGATAATCTGGTAGGAGATTTAAGTGTACTGTAAACGTAATGCAAAGCTCCTAACATTCTGAGAGTAATTGGTAGGAGATCAGTTGGACCACAGGATACTCACACACCAAAATGTGAGAAAGGACATATCCCCGCTACTTTAATAGATTTTCCATAGAAATGTGATTTGGGTACATATTATCATTAAGTATAGTATGAAGCTTAATCTAATATGACACTTATATGACAATCCTTATTCAGTCGTGTTCTTGAAAGCAAAGCCTTACTTTAATAGGGCTGTAAAATAAAAAAGCTGCTTGAGACAAAGTAGGACCTTTAGTCAATCTACCTCAGTTTTATGTGCAGTGACAAACAGCAACTTTCCAGGCCTATGTGGAGAAGCCAGGGATTGAACATACGACCTTCTGCATGCAGATCATGTGTTCTACTGAGCTGTAGCCCTTCTGTAGTGGAATGGTTAAGGCTTAATTGTTTTCTACGTGCAATTTATTTTGCAGGGAGCTGTTGTGCTTAATGTAACCAAATCTGACAATATACGCAGTTTTCCTTCTATTCCAACAACTGCATTTGAATGTAATGCTAGACCTTGGTTGAATATTATGAGACTGAGCCTGCGTGAGCCCTGGACTTGTGCACCTCTTTCCTCTTTTGGCACGGCAATACGATCAGAAGCATCTGCTGCTTCTTTTTAGAATAGTTGGGCGGGGGGTGGGGGGAATAGCTTCATAAACTGTGCTTTGAAGGTGGCTGTGTTTCAAGAAACCATAATTAAGATTTATCAGTGTTTGTCTGAGTCCAGACATAATAAGTTGTGCTTAATTTGAAGTGCATGCCTCAGAACTCAAGACTTGCAGCCATGCCAGAGGGGAGTTCACAAGCCCAAGGCTTACACAGACTTGATCCCATAATCATGGTGCAGCATTACATCTGAGCAAGACTTTTATTTCCTTTTTAAAACTGATCTCAACAAAACTTAAGTGTAATTCAAATGCCACTTGTTCATATGTGTTTGTGGCTGAATCCAAACTAATTCTTTTGTTTCTTTGTCTAGGAAACTGATGTACCTGGGCCTCAGGCAGCTGCCAGATTCTCCCATATCCTTCAGAAGGATGCCTTCCTTGTGTTTCGGTCATTGTGCAAGCTTTCGATGAAACCGCTTGGTGATGGGCCTCCAGATCCCAAGTAAAAAAGAAAATATTACATTTATTGATTTGTACACTATCCAGAATGAGACCTGAAGTAACACAGTTAAAAATGCATTCGTAATTTAATTAGCTATCAAGCTGCATGTATGGTTGCTTTGGTGTATAGTATATTGTAGCATTACTTATCTTCAGAGTAAACCTTCCTCATTTATGAAACTGCTAAGTCATGTTTTTAAAAGTGATCCACGATTGCCGGACCACGTCTAAATTCTGAGACATGCCCAAGGGAACAGCTGCATGCCCTGACTTCAAAGAGACACAAAACATATTATTCTCCTCTCTGCAGCAGAGGGAGACTAACTGTGTGTATAGGTTCACTACTTGATTTGTACATTTGCTGTCAAGTAAGATTTGTGTGTGTGAGAGAGAGAGTGAAATGTAAGTTGTAGAGATGCCAGAAGGCTCAGGGCTGTGATATGATTCCGGCTGATAGAAATTGCTGTATTTCTTGTGCTGGGAAATGAATGACGGTTCAAAGGGATTCAGCATCTTTAAGGGGCATGATAAAGTTTGATGCCTTCAGTGGAACTAAATGACCCTCAAGCATTGTTAGCATGCAATGCTGTCCAGGGTGTGTGAGTGTGTGTCTTATTACAAAGGAAAGGAAAGGTTTGCTAAGTGTGGTGAAATCATCTAAAAACTACTCTCTCGTGAACATTGAAAGACAATCAAATGTTTTAGTACATCAGACAAGCTCTATAGTCAATGTTGCATCCTCCACACACATACACCCGGCCCGATTCTATGCACTGCCACTAACATCACTCCTGACCCTTGGCTATGTTGGTTAGGTCTGACTGGAATTGGAGTCTGTGAGATCTGGAGGACATCATGTAGAGCAACCTTTACTCTTATAACATACAAAGAGCTTATAACAAGATATTGTTTTGACTCTGTTCTTCTGCTTACTATTTTTAGATCCCATGAACTCCGCTCTAAAATAGTGTCTCTCCAGCTGTTGCTTTCGGTTTTGCAAAATGCTGGTCCGGTCTTCAGGACACACGAAATGTTTATAAATGCAATCAAGCAATACCTCTGTGTAGCATTATCTAAAAATGGAGTATCGTCCGTTCCTGACGTCTTTGAGCTCTCCCTTGCCATCTTCCTCACCCTTCTCTCAAACTTTAAGACCCATTTGAAAATGCAGATTGAGGTAAGAAGGTTTTGTTTTTTCCTCTTGCTTCAAATAATAATAATAATAATAACAATAATAATAATAATAATAATAATAATAAATTTATTGTCATTACCCCCTCTCGGGGACAACGAAATTACTTGATACTCTCCTGAAGTTCAGTTCAGTAGTAATATGAAACTGTCTCTGCATATGGATCACGAATCAAAATCACTAATGTTCTATATTTGAATGTGTGTGTGTGTTCAGAATTTTTAACGATATCCTTGGAATGCATGCCTGGGGTACAGACCTTGCACCTACTTTTTCTATTTGTATTCAACAGGTATTTTTCAAAGAGATCTTCCTGAACATTTTAGAAACCTCTTCCAGTTCCTTTGAGCACAAATGGATGGTAATTCAGACCTTGACTAGAATTTCTGCAGGTAATTTTATAACATCATCAAGAAATTCTCCTTTTCTGCTTGTTTAGAATATCAAGAATGAATAGAAGTAAGTATAGGCATACTGTATAGAAGTGATAACAAAATAAATATATCAAAGGGCCATGAGGCAACACACCCACAAACACCATACACACTAAAAATATTAGTCTGGGCACTTTTTTGTTGGAATTGTTGGAATGTGACCCCCAGAGTGTGTACCTGAAGTACTTCCCAAACGTAGTTGCTAAGACCATTATGCACCACAATGCATCCCTGCACTATGAGGTTGGTGGAGCCCAGGAGAAACAAGAGGGAATGAGAAGTACAGTAGCCCTGTGAAAATGTCAGGTGGAGCAGGAGGGAATAAAAGCAGCTAATGTAGGTGTCTTTCACTGTGCTAAGTGTTTTGCTGTATTTATCCCTGTAACTAGTGGGAAGTCTGCTAAAAACTGGTGGTGACTGGTTCAAGGTAATCAATCCACTGTGCTTTTCTGGCTACGCAGGGACTCTCTCGTGTCCAGTTCAACCAATGTCCAGTTCAGCCAAAGGGCAGACACTGGAGGCCTTTGGAGTATAGAGGCAAAGTAGCGGTGGGAAAAGGGGTCTTCAAGAGGTTTGGCTGCCAACTGGGTATTTCCTGCCTTCCTGCAGTGGCTGGTGGGGTGGGGTGGAGCTTCCTTCCTGACTCCAAAATTGCTTGTTACCTGGATGTGGCAGGCATGGGGCATTGCTGTGATAAGGTCAGAGTTGCACAGATGCACCATCGGAGCAAGCTCGGCTCTCTCACCAGTGCATATACACAGCCCTAGTCTTGCTTTTTGTTACTTGTGCAGGCCTTTTTTGATGTGGGGGAAATAGTTCAGAAAATGAAACCCAGCTCTGGTATAATAATGCAAACAATGGCTTGTATTATCCCTTCGTCACCCTTTCCCCCAGTTCGTTTCATAGGTATTAAATGGGGGGGGGGGATCCTGTCACATTAGTCTGTTGTCTGCATTCCCAGACAACTCAATTTTCATAATCTAATTTTTGTTTTGTTTTGTTTTAGATGCTCAGTGTGTAGTGGACATATATGTGAACTATGACTGTGATTTGAATGCTGCTAATATTTTTGAACGGCTAGTAAATGACTTATCTAAAATTGCCCAGGGAAGGAGTGGACATGAGTTAGGCATGACACCGCTGCAGGTAAGACTCACCCGTGCAATTCCCACTGTGTTCAGTTAAGTATATTGGTAGCCTTCTATTAGTATCTTGTATGTATGCCATCCACTTGTCTATTTCCTCCCAAAGAGTTTAGGAGTGCACCTAGTTTCATGACAATCGAACATGGAGCCAAACTTGAGTAGAAGTGTAAAGCAATGCCCTTGAAGAGAACTCAGAAACTGCTCCAAAATGCAGCAGCCAGATTACTGGTTGGGTTTCCATTTAGAGCTCGCATAATCTCAATTTTTAAAAAGCTGCATCAGTTATCGCAAGCTTCCTCAAACTCGGCTCTCCAGATGTTTTTGGCCTACAACTCCCATGATCCCTAGCTAGCAGGGCCAGTGGTCAGGGATGATGGGAATTGTAGTCTCAAAACATCTGGAGGGCCGAGTTTGAGGAAGCCTGAGTTATCAGTTGGTTCCCAAACCAAATTCCAAGTATTTGCAGTAGCATTTAAAGGCAAAAACAACTTAGGCCCCAAATAGCTGAAAGGCTATGGCTTTTTTCGTTTTTAATATTCTGAGGTTCCAAAGATCTTGACCTGTTTACATTGTAATTGTTCTTTCTCCACATATTTTGTGCACAGGAACTAAGCCTACGGAAGAAAGGTCTTGAATGTTTGGTCTCTATATTAAAGTGCATGGTAGAATGGAGCAAAGACCTATATGTGAACCCCAACCATCAGGCCAGCGTTGGTGAGGAATCAGTCCTTTTCTGTATCCAAAACCTTACTAAAAATAGCTGGAAGCTGGAGTGAAATGATTTGTGGCTTCGTACATGTTACCTAAAGCAGGCTTTGTATTTTAGGCCTTGTATTATCATAGAATTAGAATTTTCTGGTGCAAGTTTTGTGACTTTTTAATATTGGGGGATTGCCAGCAAATAATTAAGAACATAAGAAGAGCCCTCCTTGATCAGGCCAAAGTCCAGCATCCCATTCCCACCAGCTGCGTATTGGAAGCCCACAAGCAGGCCCTGAACGCAATAGCACCCTCCCCACTTGCTTTCGTGGATTATCAAGATGAAAGATCCCTTTGTGATTGGGCAACTGTGGCTCTTTATCTAGATCATGTCACGGCTAAAATGGCCGCTGTTTCTTTAATGCGAATAAAGCTGGGTGAGCATGACTCAGCGGCCTGCAGCAGGTTGTATATATAATTGAGAAATGTTAGTTTGTTGCTGAGGCTGGTGTTTGGGTTGGTTGGTGCTGGTGTGTATAGTTATTCAGTCGTGTTTTGCACAAAGACTTTTGAGAATAAAACTGCAAGGATATTCTCGTGGACTCTTTTATGCCGACAAGGGTCCGAGGACCAGGCTGAGGAGACAAAGGGAGGTCAGAACCCTTTCCTTCTTTTTTTTGCTTTTTACAAACACTGACAGATCAGAGGTGGGAAACTGGCCTGCCCCCTGTGGGCCATTTTTGACAGATGGGCATGGCAACCCATGTCAATCATACAACGTCAGGTAGTACGAATCTCAGCCCGTGGCAACTGGTAGAGGTCTGTATCTGATCCTAGTGCTGTGGGGCTACTGTGTTTTATCTCCAATCTTTGCACTGTGGTGCCTAGAACTGAGATCATTGGTCTCCAGTCTTGGCACTTAATGCTTGGATTGGAGATCACAGGTGTCCATGCATGATGTCATATGACGTCAGCTGACTGACAGGTGGGCATGGTTTGCCCAGAATGGTCTCTGGGTCAGATTCAGAGTACCTCAATAATCCCTGCAGGAAGACAACTTCTGGACTGGTGGAAGATAGTGGCTGGGTGTATTGGCTGACCTTGAGCTGTGTCTAAGACCACAAAGCTGGTGTGAGTGTCTGTCCGTTTGGAGAGCCCACACGCTTTTACTTACGCATTATTTTGGAATATGTGTTTACGTCCCTTTTCTTACATGCAGGTCCAGACAAGCCTTCAGAACATGAAATGGGGGAAGTCAAATGTTTAGATATTGGGGGAAGAAGAAGTAGCGCAAGCTCCTTAGATTCAACAGTCTCCTCTGGAGTTGGAAGTGTTGGCACCCAGACTGCTGTCCCTGATGATCCTGAACAATTTGAGGTGATCAAGCAACAAAAAGAGATAATTGAGCACGGGATTGAACTGTGAGTTGAACCCATTGCTAAAATAGCTTTAAAATGGCTTTTCTAATCAAACTTTTTAACTTTTTACTGCTTTATTTGCTGTGCATATTAAAAGTAAGCTGGTACCAAGCAATCGACAAGAGTTGAACTTCAGATTGGTGCCAAATAATTTATTGCATTGAGTGTTTGGCATTTGTGTTCATTCAGTAAATTTCCCATTTTTCAGAATACGTAAGAATGCAAATGTGAATTTTAATCCGTTTTAGTATTTTAACTTCTTGTATCTTTTAATGTACTGTAATTTTTTTCCAGATTTTATGATTTTATATTTGAAAAAACCCTAGAGTGGCTTACAAAATGAAGCAGTGCATACATTTTAGGAAATATATAAATGTTCAACAAAGATTGTTAAACATTTATGTTTAGTTGATGTAACACTTCTGTGCCTACTGAACCAATTCCATCCAACTGAGCAATATGTTAAAATTAGTAACTCCTTCCCATTCGTTTTGTCCATTCTTACAACTTGTAAAACTCCCTTTAAAAGGAACACCCGCTTTCTGTTTTTTGTGACTACATTAGCCATTAATATACCTTAAAATTATACAGTGCTGTCAATATATTTCTATATGAAGTCCTGGGATTTCCAGTTAAGGTTTAACTCTGGTTTGTAGTTCATAAGTTTTTAACTGTACATTTTAGAAAGGGGCCTGCTAGGGCTGCAAGAGGAAGTCAAAATATAATAAAATTAATAACAATTATGTTTTCTGATATTTTCTGTCAGAGTTTGAGAGTCCAGACGACTGTTTTTCTGCATCAGATTGATCTATCCTTTTCCTCCTTGTCCTGTCTCTAAACTATAGGTTTAATAAAAAGTCCAAGAGAGGACTGCAGTATTTGCAGGAACAGGGAATGCTTGGAGTAACAGCAGAAGACATAGCACAGTTTCTGCACCAAGAAGAGCGCCTGAGTTCTGTAAGGCTGAATCTTACATTGTTCAAAAACCACATGCTTTTGTTAATGCTATACACATACATGCTTTTCACAGCTGTTTCCATGTGGAGATGTGAGTGTGTAAATATCACACTATTGAGGCTTTTGGTAGCATTTCGGGACCAGGCATTGATAACCAGATTGACAGCTAATGCTACTTAATGGAGTGACAAATGTCCTTAATCACTTCATTATAATTAATTAAATTTGTATATGCCTTTCATTCAGAGATCACAACATAAAGTGAACGTGATGGTGAAACATGATGATTTTGTAATGTAATATATTTGGATTGTAAGAGGGGAAATTATCAAAGTTGCTACCTTTACAATATTTCATACATTTCTCTTTCTTTCTTTCTTTGCTTTGTTTTCTGTTAGAGCCAGGTGGGAGAATTTCTGGGGGACAGTAACAAGTTTAACAAGGAGGTGATGTATGCCTACGTAGACCTGCTTGATTTCTGCGGAAAAGACTTTGTCTCTGCTTTACGCATATTTCTGGAAGGATTTCGGTTACCTGGTGAAGCTCAGAAGATTGACAGACTAATGGAAAAGTTTGCTGCTAGATATATTGAATGCAACCAAGGGTAACTTGAAAGATATTGGACAAATCATAATAGAAATGAGTGCATTTTTGGAAGCAGTGCTTGGGAGAAGATATAGTTTAGTAAGATGAGCCAGGTAGCCTTACTCATCCAGCTCATCAAGCAAAAGCAATTTGTAGAATACCATGCGTAGAATACCATATTATTAAAAAATAGGATATGGCTGACATATTCTAAAAGCAAAACCTTTCTGTAGCCAGACCATAGAATCCTAAGAAAATTAGGGAAGTGTATCTGTACCTAAGGGAGAACTGATTCATAAGCTGATGTTGCTATTCTAGGGTCAAACTAGATGAGACACCATTTAAGCAATTGGCAGTGGCCGTATATTCCAGGCATTGCGTCAGGGCTTGGGGGGGCTGAACCAGATTGGTACTCCTAACTTTTAGCATCCTCAACACCTTGTTTTTATTATATATGAGAATTTCCCTCCTCCCCAATCAATTAGAACTTGGCTGCAACTTTGAAAGAAACCAACCGGAAGCCGGGTTCCCAAGGCTTGCGGACAGCAGCCTGCAGCCCGAAACCGGGGGAGCGCAGCGGAGCGCGCCCCGGGCTTCGGGCAGCTCTCCGCAAGCCGTGGGAGCCCAGCGCAAAGTTGCACCAGGCTCCCACGGCTTGTGGAGAGCTGCCTGCATCCCGAAGCCTGGGGCGCGCGCCCCGGGCTTCGGGCAGATATCCGCAAGCCTGGGGAGACCGGTGCGACTTCCCGCTGGGCCCCCAAGGCTTGCGGATAGCAGCCTGTTCTGGGGGCTGGGGGAAGCTTGGGCTACCCCCGGCCCAGCCCCACGCCTGGGGGGGAATAATTTTTTCTTCTTCATTCCCCCCCCCCAAAAAACCTAGGTGCGCCCTATGGGCCGGTGTGCCCTATAGGGCTAAAAATACGGTAATTGCCTGAATGGCGCTGCATCTAGTTTGACCCTTGATCACTGGGGAGACATTGGATTTGGAAGAGCTCAGGAAGAATCTGGCTGCTGGTTCCCAGTACTAGATATTCTGCAAGCATAGCTATTTTCTGGATGAACACAGTGATAATTATCCTACTTGGCAGTTCCCTGTTGATATTTTGCCAAATTGTTATGGACTCTGGAGCAGTTTATAGTCACAGCTCAATGAACTGCGTGTACATTTCAGTAGGAAATGCTATAATAGAGTTTCTAATGGTGTTTTGAAAATGCACACATGAAGAGATGATAATAACAAGACCTAGTATTCTAAAAACCCGCTTTTCTTTCTTTTCCAGTCAAATTCTGTTTGCTAGTGCCGACACAGCTTACGTTCTAGCATATTCTATTATAATGTTGACAACAGACTTGCATAGTCCCCAGGTATGTGTGTATCTATATAATGATACAGAATGGTTGCAAATGGGCTTCTACATAACTCAAAACTTCTTTACCAGCTTTTGACTGTTTTGCCATAACAGGTGAAGAATAAGATGACGAAAGAGCAATATATAAAAATGAATCGTGGGATCAATGACAGCAAAGACCTTCCAGAAGAGTATTTATCTACTATCTATGATGAAATAGAAGGGAAGAAAATTGCAATGAAGGACGCGAAAGAATATGCAATCACACCAAAATCTACTAAGCCAAGTATGATGTTTTAACCCCGAACCCTCAATAATCCTAGGCTTTTGGTTTAGTATGTTTTCATTGTTCAGCTTGCTAACTTCCTATTGTTGGCGCAGAGGATACTTAGAATAACCAAGGCGGTATAGTGGACAGAGGATATGGCCTAAGGAAGTCTGGGTCTGTCATCACTCGGCTCACTTTGGGCCAGTGTATCTTTTAGCCACAGCTGCCTCAGAAAGTTGTTGTGAGGGTGAAACAGTCTTAACTCATATGCTGCCAGTCTGGGCTTCTTGGAGGAGGAGCTGGTTCCATATGTTGTGGAAACAAGAGGGAAATAGTCTGTTGCTGGTCTGGCTGACCTTGCATTGGAGCAGGTGCTTTAGACTTTGCAGGCTTCCTTTCCTGCCCCAAATTCCCCTTCAAAAATTTTGGACTACAACTCCCATCATCCCACCATGCCTATTGACCATCCTGACTGGGGCTGGTTGCAAGTTGTTCCAAACATCTGGAGGACACCAGGCTTGTTCCAGGCCTATGATTCTGTGTTCGCTGAATGTTCAGCAGCACACCTCTGTTTAGCTGGTGGAGCTAGGTGGGAGATTGTTTCAAGCTGACCTATAAAGTCCTTTTGCTTTATGCTGTCTTAGAAGATTGAAATGAGATAAACAGCATGCTCCTGTACTTACCTACTTAGTAGTAAGTCCCATGGAGTCCAAGAGGACTTGCTCCCAAGTACATGTATGTAGGATTGCAGCCTAAAAGTCAAACCACTGCCACAGGAAAGAGAAAGTACAGGAATATAGCTGCTTAAAACAGATGATCTCTTCTTAACGCAAAGCTCAGTTGAGGAGGCTCAGATGAGGGGAATGAGATTCTTGCACATTGTGGCTGCCTCAGAGGAAAGCTTCACTGGCATGTTAAGCTGCCCACCCTGCTGGGTGAAGTGATTCCTAAGGGGTGGGCTTAAGAAAAATGTAGTCACCGAGTGGTCACACATCATCATCATCATCATCATCATTTTATTTGTATGCTGCTTTTCCACAGTTAAAACCATGCTCAAGGCGGCTTAACAATATGAAAAAATTTACATAGTTACAAACATAGCAAAATAGTCATAAAAATAAATAAAACACATCAAAACTACATAACCAAACTGAACAATTTCCACATAAAAATTAAGTTACAAAAGATTAATATCAATAACGGCAAAAACTCCCAACAAAACTTTCCCCAAAATACCCCATCAAGTATCTCCGTTCCCTTGGGGATGTCTTTTTCTGCACCCTCTCCTCCCATCACGACCCAGATAAAGCAATAGTAGTGGTAGTAACAGTAAAGCATATTACCGTATTTTTCACCCCATACGGCGCACCTAGTTTTTTGGGGGGTGGGAAATAAAGAAAAAAAATCCCCCCCCAGGCGTGGGGCTGGGGCTGGGGGAAGCCCGAGCTTCCCCCAACCCCAGCCCCCAGAACAGGCTGCTATCCGCAAGCCTAGGGAGCCCGGTGGGAAGTCGCGCCGGGCTCCCAAGGGTTGCGGAGAGCTGCCCGAAGCCTGGGGCGAGCTGAAAAGCGTGCCCCAGGCTTCGGGATGCAGGCAGCTCTCCGCAACCCTTGGGAGACCGGCGGGAACTCCCGCGGGCTCCCAAGGCTTGCAGATAGCTTCCTGAATCCTGGAAAGCGAGAGGGGTCGGTGCGCACCAGGCGTCAGCGACAGCCTGCGTTCGCCCCATAGGACGCACACACATTTCCCCTTCATTTTTGGAGGGGAAAAAGTGCGTCCTATAGGGCGAAAAATACGGTACGTATGGTTGGGTCTAAGTGAACATTGGTAACAGTTTTCTGTTACCTCCTTCAAAAAGCTGTACTGGGAGCTGTGGCAGCAGAACAACACTGACAGCAACCGTTGCACACTCAAACACTGCAGGATTTCTTCACATTTACCTGAGGGAACAAAGCAATTCTTATAGGGTAAAAAAAGGTCAAAATGAAGCAGCACCAAAAGCCTTCTTTTCTTGCTACACCTGCTTGGGGCCAGCCAGAGTAACACAACTTGAATAGTGGGTCATTTGCCACTTCTGAAATGGCAGATAAGGTTGAATCAGCACTGGTAAACATCATGACTTCATCAAGGAGTAACAGTATAATTGTTATAATTTTTAACTGAAACTGAGAGGTTCTGAAGGAATGATACGGTCTGAGTATGAAATGTATGATTTAGATTGGTCTTTTCTGGGAAGTGAAGCAGAAACATAATGGAAATGAATTTATTATATCCTCAGTATAATAATGAAAATGAATTTATTATATCCTCTGTATTTAATATGTTCAATTATGCATGGATTTCTTAAGTTGTACATAAATTTCTTGGTGGATATGGGAAGAAGGATTTGTTTTTTAAAGACTGCATACTCTTGATTTGTCTGGAATGTGGTGTGGGTGTGCCAAAAGATATTTAATGCAGCTTTGTGGGGGGTTTGGGTTTTGTTTTTTTTAGATGTAGCCAGTGAGAAGCAGCGAAGGTTGTTGTACAACCTGGAGATGGAGCAAATGGCAAAGACAGCTAAAGCTCTAATGGAGGCAGTGAGCCATGCAAAGGCACCTTTTACTAGTGCAACTCACCTGGATCATGTCAGGCCCATGTTCAAAGTGAGTATGGAACTGAAGTCATGGAAACCAGAGGTCAGACTTCCTAAGCATCCTTTTGTCTTGGGACCATATTTGCACAGCATTCATTTAAGAAACAGTGGGTTTGCGGGGCTGTGCAGTGAAAGACTTAACATGTGTGAAATAACAGAGGGGAGAAGGTACAGTCAGAAGATAGTCAAGAATGTCGAAAATTTTGTAATGTTTCTGGTCTATGTCACATGACATACAACAGTTCCTTTTTTACTTGAGTTATGTCTACATTAAATAACTTTCTGGGGCAAAATATGGTTGGGTTAAAAAAGCCAAATTGACTAAAGCCTCCCCCTTCTTCCTCTCCCCGTCCTTTTTTTAATAGCTTGTGTGGACTCCGTTACTGGCTGCTTATAGTGTGGGTCTTCAGAACTGCGATGACACTGAAGTTGCATCATTATGCTTGGAAGGAATACGCTGTGCCATCCGAATAGCCTGTATTTTTGGCATGCAGGTTGGTATAGAGTAGGCTTGCTGTATGTAGTAAGGGTGAGCAAAAAGAGTTGTATGAATCCTCAACCCAGGAACCAAAGCCATCTGTCAGATTTGGGGCTTGTTTGAGCCAAAGCAAGATCTTTCCAAAATGCACACTGAACTGGAGATCTTCAGGGCGCTTCAGAGATTTTGATGTTTAGAAAACACTGCAGAATATCCACCCTATTCCCTTTTCACCTGCTTTAAGAGATTATTCCATCCACAGAACTCTTTCTTGTCTGGAGCTGTATCCAAGTTAGCCACATGCCATCACTGAGTAACACGCCATCTTCACTCCATGTGCTTATTTCCTGAGATACATGTTTTTAGCGGGAGTGGTGGGGGTGAGGAAGGAATGCAACAAGCCTGTCTTTTACCATGGTTTATTTCTGCTTCTGAATTTTCCTTCTTACATTTTAGCTTGAACGAGATGCTTATGTGCAGGCACTTGCCCGCTTTTCCTTGTTGACTGCCAGCTCCAGCATCACAGAAATGAAACAGAAAAACATAGATACAATTAAGACCCTCATTACAGTGGCCCACACTGATGGCAACTACCTTGGAAATTCCTGGCATGAGGTAAGAAAGCATGTGCACCTTTGCTGTGTGCTGTCAATTTTGAAGAAGTGTTACTGTATCTGACTGATCTGCTGATACAGGTTCTACATATTCATACATTTCTGTAGTCTCAGAATTGATGCAGAAAACCTCTCATTGCATTTATATGTGGAACTAATCTCAGTGGGGCTTGCATTTGGCACCAAATTTTAACAGTGCCAAATAAAAGTCCTGCTTTCCAAAGAGCAATTGGAATTGCATTCTGATATTCTAGGTGGTTCCTTTGAAGCTGTGTCTTTCTCTGCCCCACACGACATAATATATGACGACATATATGGGGTGGGTGTGGCTTGGGGAAAACAGCCTCGCTGGGCCTAATGAGACCTGTGAGCTAGACGTTCTCCACTGCTAAAGTATACAAAGCAATTCTGTAAATGTGCCCTGCTCATTGCCAATCCTAGGAAAAGTGAATTTCAAGACAGCATCAACTTTTCTGGGATATGGGGGTTTGAGGTTCCTTGAGATAGGCTTGTCAAAAGAAACCAAACATTTCTTTCTCCATAACTGCCTTCCACTTTTCAAAATGCCTTATCAGTTTCCTTAAAGTGCTAATTGGCTCTGTCTGCTAGACAGAGGACCCACAATGAAGAATGAAATCCTCTCTACCTGCCCAACTATATATTGGGTGAATTGTAATTCCAAGGGTTTAACCTAGCTGGTCCTGAATTAGCATTGCAAATTTAATCCTGCCGCCCCAAGACTTTATTGGGCCAATGTGCCAAGAGCTATATTTTGGGGAAGAAGGGATTGTGGCTTAGTGGTGTTGCAAGCAAGAAGTCTCAGTTTCAGTCCCTGGCATTTCCAATTAAAATGATCGGGTAGGAAACTCCTTTGGCTGAGAACCCAAAGAGCTGCAGCCATCCATAGTAGACAGGAATTGGCTAAATGGACAACATCGCCTGGATTGCATACACATGTCAGAACTGCAGTTTTTGAAGTGGAGCAGATTCCACAGCCGGAGTGGAACATTGAGTGCATGCACAGCAATTCCTTAGCATTAGAAGTGAATGGTGATGTGTCTGACGACGTGGAGTGTGGCATTTGCATTGGAGGCATTTTCTTGGTTCTGCAATCTGTAGCTGCTGACTTCAGTACTGAAATGCACATTTGTTTTCATTAGATCTTGAAATGTATCAGCCAGCTGGAACTAGCACAGCTCATAGGGACTGGAGTTAAAACACGCTACCTGTCTGGATCTGGGCGCGAAAGAGAAGGGAGCCTCAAAGGCTTCACATCTGGAGGAGAAGAGTTCATGGGTCTTGGACTAGGTGAGAAGATTAGCTTTGACTCTGTCTGTTCTCATGCCTAAGGATCCAGGTTAATTAAATAAAGGCATTTGTCATCATAACAAATTACCTGTTTCTTGATTTCAGACTGCTTTAACCTTAAAGACCCCCCTGTTTAAAGTAATTAATGACAGTGGCTTATTGAATTGCTGGTTTGGAAATAAGAAACAAGGGTAGATGATTAGTCATATATAGCTCATGCAGGGTGATATATTTATTCATGTCATTTTGGGAACAGGAAATAAAGCTTTCCTTATTACATACAATACAGTATTTTATAAGAGGACCACTTTGGTGGTTAATTTTCAGACCGCTAGATGCTGTTATTCTTTGAGCCTGTTCCTTTGATTTTACAATCTATAATTCAACTGGTATTGGTAATATGTTTCATGTTAGATTTAACAATTATTGTTGGTTTCTTCCTAACTAGGTAACTTCGTTGGCGGAGGTGTTGATAGAAGGCAAATAGCCAGTATTCAGGAATCTGTGGGAGAAACCAGTTCGCAAAGTGTGGTGGTGGCAGTAGACAGGTATTACAGTGACCTTTAAAAAAATAATGAAATATTGAAAGGCTTACTATCACTATTAGCACAACAGGCTGTGGCACAGGTTTTAAGATACAAACCATAATTTTAACTCAAGCTTATAAAATTAGCAGTTTCCTGGTCTCTGATGCAGAGTAGTTAAAGATACCAAAGGAAGGGATTGAATGGGGATCAGAAGTTGGGACTTGAGGGCAGAGAAATTGTCTTTGCTATTGTTGGATGCTCCTGTCCTGCCCCTCTTAAAAACAGCATGGCACATTTTCCCCTTCCATAATTAGTTTGGAGTTGCATGAAGTGAAGACTTTCCTATTGTAATTATTGGTATGATTTTTATATACATACATATATACATTTACACATACACATATAGTTTTAAATTCTATCAATGTTTAATTGTTTTTAGTTATTCTTTATTCTATGCTTTTAACAGTTCCTATTTTTTTTCTGTATGTTGCATTGAGCCCCATCAGGAAAAACAGTGTTCTTCATTCTAGCATCACATAGATTTACAATAATATGTAATGGGCTTTCCCAAATGTTCTGCATCTTGAGAATTAACTCTATATCTCAATTTATCCCATAGAATATTTACAGGTTCAACCAGACTGGATGGAAATGCAATAGGTATGTATGTTGGGGGGGGGAGATACCCTAAGGCAAATAATAATTGCTTTGTACCATTTCAGGCTTATTGACATGTTTGGTCTCAAAATTTTCAGTGGACTTCGTTCGGTGGTTGTGTGCTGTTTCCATGGATGAGTTAGCTTCCCCTCACCATCCACGCATGTTCAGCTTGCAGAAGATTGTTGAGATCTCCTATTACAACATGAACAGAATTAGGCTGCAGTGGTCCAGGATATGGCATGTCATTGGAGATCATTTCAATAAGGTATTTCAGCATTTGAAACCTGTTTCCCTTTCTGGTTCAAACACCAAGGCTAGCATGCACACAACTGCTTCATTTCAAGACCCATCAAATTTACATGGCAAACTCTGATGGCATCAAATGAAATATAGACTTAGATTGAACAAGATGGACTTGGAATCCACTCTGCCCACACTACTAGGTAGAAAAATATTGCTGGCAGGTCCTGTATAAAGCTTGACTGGCAAAACTGCAACTTTGCAAAGGCACACCCTTTGTTATTAGGAAGATCCAAGGGGTCTGGAGGTAACATGCAGCACTTGGGCAAAATTACAGACAATTTTTAGCATAGACACCAATTTATGTTGGACATGACTTATTTCTTGGCCAGACCTCATGAGTCACACAACCTTGGAATTTAGATGATCCCAAATATGGAATTGAACAGTGTTATGAAAAGGTGTAAGAAGAAACAAAAAGTTTAAGAAGTTGAAAGCCCTTTAGGGTGGACTTTCTATTTTCAGGCATGGACTTTCTCCCTTACTGCTCCTTGTCAGCGCAAACAGTCTTGGTGCGATACAGAGTCTGCATTTCTTTTTTCCTTCTTTTTAAAATAGATAGCCTTTTATATTACCGTGTGTCTTTCCTTAATGATTGGCTTGTCATAATTGTGCTCAAAGTTTCTGGATTTATGTCTTGATCATACACAAAATTACAGGGAAACAAACACTACTCCGATTGATGATATTTACTGCCAAGCTCATTTTGATACTCTGCAAAGATTTGTGACTGGTGTATTTTGAGAATACCTTGATTGGGGTGGGGGGCCTGTTTCTGCCCACGGCCAATCTTTAGGGGGCACATGCCAGCTATGGGCAGAGGCAAAAGGGGCAGTGGGCAGGAGTTACACCTTTTCATAGTGGGTTGCATTCCATCCTGGCAAAAGTACCCAAGAAGGGCCTGGTCTGTGAAGGAGAGGTTGCCTGGGAAGTGTGGCATAGCTTAGGAAGAGTTCCAGTGGCTGAATAGAGAGACCCAGAGGGCCTGAGCTTCCCCAGGCCTGCCCCAGGCTGTTTCTGACTGTCTTGTTAGCGGCATCATGCCAGTCATTGTTCTATGGACCAATCAGGTTTCAGGGCTGTATTTGTATAGCCCAAATTCCACTGGATATGCACTTCTTCTGAGAGAATGCCCGTTTCTCTTTTTAATAGGTTGGTTGCAATCCTAATGAAGACGTGGCCATCTTTGCGGTTGATTCATTGAGACAGCTCTCAATGAAGTTCCTTGAGAAGGGAGAGTTAGCCAACTTCCGATTTCAGAAAGACTTTCTGAGGCCATTTGAGCATATTATGAAGAAAAACAGGTTCGTCCTAATAACTTGAAATGTAAATCTGTTCTTTTATGCCAATGCAGATTCCTCTGGCATCACCATACACGAGAGATACAACAAATAAGTCAGTAATTATTATTTTATTTTTCTTCAGGTCTCCTACAATTCGAGATATGGTAATACGCTGCATTGCTCAGATGGTAAATTCTCAAGCTGCTAATATTCGCTCAGGGTGGAAAAATATCTTCGCAGTATTTCATCAAGCGGCGTCTGATCATGATGGGAATATTGTGGAGCTGGCGTTCCAGTCAACGGGACATATAGTTAGTAAGTAAATTTCAGCAAGACTAATGTGCCAAATGATGATGGCAGAGACCAACCTCAAAATATTGAAACAATGACTTGTAGTATTCCTATTTCTCACATGTACTTCAAATAATATTTCTCCCTCTCTTGACCTTCTAGAAAATGCTGGGTGGGGGGTGCTCCTTGATTTTGCTGTTAAGGAAAACACATTTTAAGAAGGGATTGAAAAGCTCTTTACGAGAACAGAGAATCCAGCAGCCCACAACCTTGAAATTTCTGCAGCTGTAGGCTCACTGAAAGCATTGTATGATGTAGTTGTGTCAAACAAGTTCACTTTCAGAAACTGCCCACATTGTGTGACACCAGCTCTGGCACAGCAAGGCTTGCTACAAATCTCTGCTTACCCCTAGGTGAAATCCCTGCCTTTGCTCACAGGTTTGTATGGGTTCCTGGGCTCTGCTGGATGGCTTTCCTCCCTTTTAAGACTAATTGGATTAGCAGTGGAAAGTTGTTGACAAAAGAAGTCCCCTGCAATTGCAATAAATTTCAACACACCTACTTACCTCGCTGGACCACCATAAATAGCTGCTGGACTTTGTGATGGGCTATAACTCATGCAAGTTGTGCAGGCCTGGTGCAATGGGTCACCTAGAATTGCAACTATCTTGCAATCAGCATTTATTATATAGAAGGGCAAATGTTTGTATTGCAATGTAACTGTTGACCTGGTCTGCTTACGTACTTGTATATCAACTGTATTCTAAAGCAGAGCAAAAATACAAAAGTAGTGATTTGTTTTTATTTCACATTTCCCTCCACAGCCAATATTTTTCAACAGCATTTTCCTGCAGCAATAGATTCATTCCAGGATGCCGTAAAATGTTTATCAGAGTTTGCCTGTAATGCTGCTTTTCCAGACACCAGTATGGAAGCAATTAGGCTTATTCGTTATTGTGCAAAATACGTTTCAGAAAGACCTCAGGTACTTTCCTCCCCTCATTTGTATTTCTGTGTTTTTTCAGAGGCTCAAAATATTTTCAGTAACAGAACCCAGGCATGTCTACCTTCCTCATTCCCTAAAGACCATTAGGCAACAAGACAAGGCAACCCTATTCCAGCAAGCCTTTTGGATATGCTGACTGCTTTTTTATAACCACTGTTTGCTTCTTTTTTACTGTTTTGTGCTATTGGATTTTATTGATTTTACAAACTGTTTCAATTTTGTAGTTTGTTTGTTTTTTAAAAAAAGAAACATGAAAGATCAATTTGTATCAAATGATTTTAGTAATAACAAATATATTATACCACAGACCTGCTTTAAATTAAGCCTGCGCTGGTTATTATTGGGTAGCAGCTTCTTAAATCATACTCAGAATAACATTATGATTGACATCAGCCTATTGATTTTAACAGACGTACTCTGAGAATTATTTTGTTGGATGGCACCCATTATATTTCAGCAACTCTCTCTATCAAATCTTAGTTCCTTCCTCCTCCCACATCTCAAATTAAATATGAATGGGGAACCTCTACCATTTTTGCCTAGTGGCTTGGGCAGAAAAGTGTCCCACTAGGAGGGATATTATTTTTTTGTGAGGTTACAGAGCGATTTGCTTGTGTGTGAAACATTTTTAAAGTGTGTTTTGTCTTGCTACTTTTCTTTGCATTTCTCCGTTCTTTAGCAAGACCTGACTGAGTGGCTTAAGTGTTTGTACTGAACTACCAGCTCTTGTCTATTCACAGGTTTTGAGAGAGTACACAAGTGACGACATGAATGTGGCCCCTGGGGACAGAGTTTGGGTTAGAGGCTGGTTCCCCATTTTATTTGAACTTTCTTGTATCATCAATCGGTGCAAGCTAGATGTGCGGACGAGGTAATGAAACATCATCTCTCTTTTTTTGGTTCTGCCCAGTTATTAATGTTTTTCCCTGTTAACTTGCATTGTCTTATTACTGCTTTCCCGTCCATGTTGTAGAGGCCTAACGGTTATGTTTGAAATCATGAAGAGCTATGGCCATACCTTTGAACAGCACTGGTGGCAAGATCTGTTTCGAATTGTGTTTCGGATATTTGATAACATGAAGCTTCCAGAGCAGCAGACAGAGGTATTGGAAGCCATTTTATAGAAGCAAACAATATTAAAAACAGAAATTGAAGTCAAACTTTGATCTAGTGGGATGTTATTATTCCTTTTTTTGGGGGGGGGGGTTGGAATTGTAGAGCCTGAGGCTTTTCTACCTGAGGTAGCATTCTACAAGGGCAAAGGTTTATGTTCCATGTTGTCCTTGTGCCTTGCCCAAGTTGAGGAAGAACGTTGGGCCACTCTGTGCTTCAGTAGGCAGTCTAGTTCTTGCTACGTACAGTATATGGTGCTTCTTGGGTTAGCATAAACAAAAAATGGCAAGTTACTATCCTTAGGAGCTTGCAGTCTTACATTTTTACAATGGGAAAGGGGCAACACATGGAGGCAGCCTTTAAATTGATAAGCTTTATTGTGCTTTTCAATATTCAATCAGAACTTTTCCCAGTTAGCAGTATTTCCCCCCCCAAAAAATTTAAAAAAATACAAGGCCTGCTTTTTCTCTTGACAGAAATCTGAATGGATGACTACTACGTGTAATCATGCACTTTATGCAATCTGTGATGTATTCACTCAGTTCTATGACGCTTTGAATGAGATTCTTCTTGCTGACATATTTGCACAGTTACACTGGTGTGTAAAACAAGGTAGCTTATTTACATACATGTCACTTTCTTCTCTGGATGGATGAATTGGTCAAATTCTCTCAATTTCTAATTTTTCAAATCTTCTAAATTCAGTTTGTCCCACTTAAGCATCAGCTTGCAGTTTTTAACTAGTAAAATTCATTTTTGTTTTTTAAAATAATTTTTATTAATTTTACATATAAACACAATACGTAACATCGTGTCCTCTTATTAAGGCTCTTATTAAGGCTCAACCGAGCCTAAACGACTTCCCTCCCTCCCTCCTAATGGTTCACAAAATTAAATTTTACTTTTTTGCAAATCATTTCCTTTCCTATTCTTATTATATCATTACTTAAGATATTAAATTACTCAACCTGAATAGGTAACTACTTCGTCTTACAAATAAAATTCATATTACAAAGTAAAATTCATTTTTATATGCTGTTTCCATTAGTTGATGCATTTTTGTTTGCACTTTTCCCTGATTTGGGGTTGGAGAACGGCATCATAGAAATTGGACAAGTGGGAATCTTGAAGGTTAGCTGCATTTCAGTTTATGTATTGGTTCAGAGAGCACGAATTGGGTAATTTGCATTAACAGACAAGCTGGATTAATTTCTTTCCACATCCCAACTTTATACTGAATGAATAACCTTGGGGCAGATAAGAAAAGAATACAATATACATATAATGTTACATTTGCTCCATCTCATTGTCTCATTTTGCAGTGTTGCCTTGACTTACTACTTCCCAGTAAGAATAAGCGCCAAACAACTGCAAGTCCTTCTTGTTAGGTGGTTTATAAATACCACTGATCTCTGACACTGTGTGTCTATACTCACTGTAAATGTTCTTTAGTTTTGCATAAATGAGGATTGTGGGTTTTTTTAAGCTGGTTCTTCATTTTCTGCAGATAATGAACAGCTGGCTCGATCGGGTACTAACTGCCTAGAAAGCCTGGTAATATTAAATGGGCAGAAATTTAGTCATGAAGTCTGGGACCAAACCTGCAATTGTATGCTAGAGATCTTCAAAACTACAATTCCTCATGTGTGAGTATAATTCTAAATGCAGAATATTTAAAGTGGTTTCAAATATGTTATGTTTCTGATCAATTTTTTTCTTCCTTGAAGCTTGCTGACATGGAGACCAGCAGGAATGGAAGATGATTCATCTGAAAAGCACTTGGTAAGTGCTCTGATTACTCATTCCTTGGCTGAAAAAAATGTGCGCAAAATGATGTATGTGACAGCTTCGTGTTTATAGACATTTAATGTGGAAACAGGAGTTATCTGCAAGAACATTCATTAGACTCATATTTGTTAACAAATAAAAATATTAGTAGCAGCAATATGTATCTTTGGGTGTGTTTTAAACTATTATTAATAATAATATATTTTTTATTATTATTTATTATTGAATTGCTCCTGTTTACTTCTAGGATATGGATCTAGATCGCCAGTCATTAAGCAGCATAGATAAAAATGCTTCAGAAAGGGGACAGAGCCAGTTTTCAAATCCTACAGATGAAAGCTGGAAAGGTGGCCCTTATTCAAGTAAGTGCACTTCAATCTCCTCAACATCTATCTTTGAGGGCTATCCACTCCTCACCCAAGTCCCCTTACAAGCAACACCACCTCATTGTGCTGAAGGGCTGTTGAGATTTTCCATTCTGCTTTCAGCACCATCTGCATACAGGCATTATTAGTTCCTAGCCTCCACTAGAGTGTTGCTGCCAACTTGTGTACAAATTTGTTTCCAGATTTGTAGCATTGTGCAAGAGCCTTGGAAATGGCAATCCACAACCATTGACAGCCTATTGCTGGTTGTTGTTTTTTAAGAGCTTGGGTCGATGGGATTCATAGATTCTTGAAATTTTCTTAACAGGATTCATATGCCAAATAATCATCTATAACCTCTGAGAGGTTTACAGTCCCATTTTCCAGGTCAAATTATGCTGGTTGGTTAACCTCAATTAGGAGCCTTGATGTAGCAGTGACACAAAAGTCTGCTATCTTACTTACACAGGAAAATGTATTCTGTTGTTTTTGTTGTTATTTATTGAATTTATATGCCGCCCTATACCCGGAGGTCTCAGGGCAGTCCTAAAGTATTATTTTATCAATGGCATGGTGCTAGTCTAGGGATGACGGTAATCTTCACTGGCACCACGGTAGCTCATGAAATCCATGGTTCCCTGTTGCTAGAGAATATTGCACATTATATGCTTGGGAAGGATCTTGTTGGAAGATGGGGACCAGGGGAAAGTGACCTCAAGGTACCTATATTTGGCTACACCAGTTTTTAGTGCATACAGCCAAATTACTTTGAAACTAAGACCTATCATATTGATATTCTCTTAGACCAGAAACTCTTTGCCAGCCTCCTTATTAAGTGTGTTGTGCAGCTGGAATTGATACAGACCATTGATAACATAGTATTTTACCCAGCAACAAGCAAGAAGGAAGATGCTGAGCATATGGCTGCTGCTCAGGTAAGAAGCCTCACATTCTTCTCCAGAGTCACATCTTGACTTTCCCATTTGGTTAACATTTATCAGCTAGTATGGAAGACAGGGAGTGAACTGTGCCCTGACAGTCTTTTGTCTTGTATGTGAGGTCCCCCTATAACAGTGCCTTAGTTTTAGCTGAAGAGGCTTAGCATTCTGCTCTGGCTGACAAGAGCATGAAGTGAGCAAACAGAGTGTTGCTACTGAACAACTGTAGATAGGTCAAAGTCATCAGTGAAAATGAAGGATACCCCTGAAACTGATACCACCCTGTTTTTCTCCAGAAGACCCGATGTGCCGACTGTCTGGGACAAATGTTGCTGTGAACCAGAGAGAAATTTAGATTACATTTCCGATAGCAGAACTACATTTATTTCCTAAATTGCATCCAGAAGCAACTGGCACATATTCTACCTGTGCATCTGTGATTTTGTTGGTTTTGCCTCCCACAAACTGGGAGGCATCATCAGTTAATGGTGATTCTGCATAGAATAATGACACTTCTTTTACCGTTACCAGAAACTGTGGCATGTGCCCTCTGCTCTGGCTGTGTGGGGCGGGGGCGGGGAATAGCAACTGATGCATCCAGGTGCACTGGACTGGTACCAAAATTGGTCTATAGTATTGCGCTTGGAAATTGTGATATACTCTGATTTTTAAAAAAATTATGATTACACCTATTCCTTCAGTCATCGTTTCTTGTAACTGGATTTTCCATTTTAGAGGGACACACTAGAAACAGACATCCACATTGATACTGAAGACCAAGGAATGTACAAATACATGTCTTCCCAACACCTGTTCAAGTTGCTGGATTGTTTGCAGGAGTCCCATTCATTTTCAAAAGCTTTTAACTCAAATTACGAACAAAGGACCGTCCTGTGGAGAGCAGGTAAGCACCAAGTGTGTGGTGCACAAAGGGTTTTTTTTAAAAAATATACCTAAAGCAGTGTAAGCAAAAAATTGCATGTCTAGTACATGAATCCAGTTCAGGGAACTGGTGGCTCCCCAGATGTTGCTAGACTGCAACTCCCATCATCCTTGCCCATTGGTCATGCTATCTGGAGCTTATGAGAGCTGCAGTCCAGCATAATTTAGAGGGCCACAGATTCACCATACCTGATCTAATAACATGGAATTTTATTATTTTGATTTTGAGGTTAAATGTATAACTTGGAATATTCTAATCCAATTAAGAAATGTACCTTGCTAATGATCTTCTATCAAGATGTGGAAACAACAACTTCCATCAGCCCCGGGCAGCACAGTGGTAAAGGAGTGATGGAAGTTGTAGCCTAACAACTTCTGGAAGGCAACAGGTTTTCCATCCCTGCCTCGTATGAAGATCACAGTATGCAATAGCTGTTCATATCCGTTCATCATGTAGGAATTCCATAAATTTGATTCCAGAAGATAGGCTCAGATTCAGTGAAATGAAGCCAAAGCTAATGGCATTTATTTTGTCCTTATGGTACAGAGGAAGCATGTCATATTTTGGGTTGTTGTAAACCTTATACCTATAGAAAGGTTAAGTACCCCTTCCCCTTTTCTATTCTAATCACTTCCTCCTAAAATTGTTTTTTCCCCCCAGTTTTAAAAGTGATTGGGTGGTAACTATGGGCATTTAAGTGTAATGTGGAGTCAGGCTCCAAGTGAAGTATTAAGAGACTTTGTTCAGGGTTTAAGTGAAGCTGCACATTTCCTTTCTTCAAATGGCTCTACCTTCAATAGTGTTTACCTGCATGTGGTTTCAAAGGCATATGTGTCTTGCCAAATGTGTGTTTGGGACCTCACAGTGTGGAAAAGCTGTATGTATGCATGTCTGTTGGAGTTGGAGCAGACATGCAGATATAGTTATCTAGCTATATCGCTGTCCTTGATTTCTAGGGTTCAAGGGTAAATCCAAGCCTAATCTTTTAAAACAAGAAACCAGCAGTTTGGCTTGCTGTCTGAGAATCCTCTTCCGAATGTACGTTGATGAAAATCGCAGAGACTCCTGGGAAGCTATACAAGAGAGACTCCTGAAGTAAGCATTATTTCTACCCTTCAAAGATGTTACTAGGCTGCCCAGTCAAGTGACTGCTTTTGGCTGCTGGATTCCAGTGTCTGTATGGAATGCCTCCCCCTAATCTTCCTATTAATTTCCGTCAAGGTAATAAAAAGTGATGGGTGTTCAAATCTGGGCCTTCCATTAAGACCATCCTGGAATGTGTCTGTGAAAGTAACCTGATACCTGGAGCAGGCCATTTATCCCTTCTGCACCATTTGATAAAAGAGCTTTTGACTCTGGCTTCAGTGTGCTTTTTGCAAAGTGTTGCTTCTAGTTAGTTAGGTGAAATTGTTCACAGAGGGTGAAAAGATGACCCTATTTATAAATGACATTGGACAGCCTGTGTGGATACCAGATAAAGAAAACCGCCCATTTGTACATTGAACTGCAATACTTCCAAGCCCACTTGCAGCTTCAGCCGGGTGATTTTAAATAGAAAACACAAAGATCAAATAATGAAATAAAAAGACATTGAGAGGAATTCAGTATAGCACTGTGATAATGGTCCAATCAGTAGAAGCTTTTCAGCTTGCAGATGGAACAATCCCCCATTTCCTCTTCTGCCACTCTGTTCTAGGGGTTCTCCAAGCCAGTTTTAGGGGGCAGGTCTATGTGCGGCAGCAGCATAGAAGGGAACAGCCGCGTCTTGCATTATTTGAATCCTGCCCACTGAATGTTTTGTCACTTTCCTCTTCCCATTTAAAGTGAAACCTATCAAGCTTCCACGTTTACTGGTAGGCTTGAGGGTAGACCGCAACACCTGTTGATTCCATTTGCTTAAGATTCCTTTTTCTATGTATTGAGTGGGTGCATAATCTTTCTCTAGTGTGTGCAGTGAGGCGTTGGCCTATTTTATCACCGTGAACTCAGAGAGCCACCGAGAGGCCTGGACCAATCTCCTGTTGTTACTTCTAACAAAAACACTAAAAGTCAGTGATGAAAAGGTAAGAAAAGATTCTCACCTTGGTTTCATGCACATTATTTTCACACTTTAACTTGAAACTGTATCCCTTTTCTCACACGCACACACATTGTATGAAAGCGCATCACAATTAAATTGTGGCTTCAGGGATGTGCCTCTGGCCCCACCCCATGTGGTGGTGGTGCTGGCCCTTCTCCAACTCAAGCATGGATATCTGTAAAATGAGAGGCTATGTCTGTTCGGGAACTCTGCGATTGGGGTTGCAGAATGCATGGGGCTGGTGGGAGCTGGAATTCAACCACATCAGGTAGGACCACAGATTAGCCACCCATGGTTTAGACGGACTTCTCTCAATGTTATGTGCTTAGTGTGTTGCAGCCTAAAACTTGAAGATTTCTTTAAAAATTATAAATATTGCTACATGTTGACATAGAATGGGAAAAGCAGGGTTTCCCAAATTTGGGTCTCCAGCTGCTTTTGGACTACAATTCCCATCATCCCTGACCAATGTTCTTGGTAGCTAGGGATAATGGGAGTTGTAGTCCAAAAACAGCTAGAGACTCAAGTTTGGGAACCACTACTCACTGGCCACCTCTACAATAAATTGATCCCTGGGGGAATTTCTGGTTACTGGAGGGCCAGCCCTATCATTAGGCAGAGTGGAGATAGCCACCTCAGGCTGCTGATTTCTAAAGCTATGAAAGGGCAGCAGAATAGGTAACTGTTTAATATATACTATTTTAACTCCCAGGGAGCAGGGGAAAGTTGCTTATGGGATAACTTGACCGGTTTTAGGTACGACAAACCTTAACTTGAAGGGCAGTGGCATTTTCTGCTCTGACTCAGTCAAGAAAATTGCTTGGACTGGCTGTTCTGGTTAGGTAAGAAACAGAAGGGAAAGTTCATTGGCGGCCTTAAGAGGTATGCAGTTTCCAAACCTAGATGTTGCTTACCCCATAGTCCAGGCATCCCCAAACTCGGCCCTCCAGGTGTTTTTGGACTACAACTCCCATCATCCCTAGTTAACAGGACCAGTGGTCAAGGATGATGGGAATTGTAGTCCCAAAACATCTGGAGGGCTGAGTTTGGGGATGCCTGCCATAGTCTGTGAGAACTCGGTTCCTTCTATGATGATGATGATGATGATGATGATGATGTGCTGGTTTTTTAAACAATCTTACCCCCCCTTTTTTTCCCTTCCAAGTTCAAAGCACATGCTTCAACATATTACCCCTACTTGTGTGAGATAATGCAGTTTGACCTTATCCCAGAGCTCCGAGCAGTACTGCGGAAGTTTTTCCTGCGCATAGGTGTAGTATTCAAAATCTGGATTCCTGAAGGACAGTTGCGGACGACGGGGACCCACTCGCTTGCATGGTAGCTCCATCACTGCTCTTTCCCAAAGCTTGAGTTGTGCTAAGTTCAAAGAATGGATGCAGAGAGAGGGAGATTGTACTCAAAGAAGATGAAACAACCACTGGAACAGATCAAAATAATAGCATTTCTAAAGGAAAACTGTCTCCTTTATATAAAAAAATTCTGGCTTCCCTATAAGAATAGCTGTTGAGCATTTTGCAATTTAATGCAGTAAATGTCAAGTCATTCTTATCACAAAGCTTGTGTCTTCAAATCTGTTGTTTGCAATGGTTCCTTCTTAATGCCTTTCAGCTAATTGCCCATAATCTGTTGGAAATGATGAATGAATGGAAAATGAGATAATAGCGAATATATTCATATAGACCTGTGATGTTAGCAAATGTATTAATAAATATTTAAGAGAGGGCTTAAATTCATCCGAAAATCATGCTGGGACATCTGGTCTCCCACGCCCCCATTTGGGTGGATTCAACCTCTGTGTGAATACGGGGTGCTTTTTTGTTTTAATGATTTGGTGCTGTCTATTCTGCAAAGTCATAGCAAGATGGCAGTTGGGCGGTAGTATAACCAACAACCTAGCAAGAATCCAAAGAGATAATTGATCTTCATCACCCTCCCTGCCAACTTACATGTTGCAGAAAGTGTGTGGTAAATCATTCCCAGAACTGCACCATATCATGTTGGCCTGGACCTTCATTGTTTTTCATCATAAGTAAATACCCTTGATACTAGATCTGTATCAAGAAAATAATTTGCAGTATACGGTATTGCAAAGGAAATACTACCCCCCTCACCAAATGTAGCAGGAGAAAACCATTACACGTGAGCCTCTTAATCCCATTACTAAATCTCTCATGCCTTGAATGCACCACGAAGCTTGATATCTTTGAAAATTCTTCTGATTCTTGACTAGTATGGAGGAAATGGCAAACGAAACTTTCGAATTAATATTTGAATTGCACATTGAATGAATTAAAATGTATAGCAGTTGGTCAAGCCCTTCCCCTTTTGAATAATATATAGATTAACATTTTGGTAGAAGCAGTCTATCTTTAATGTGCATTAAGATATTTCTATTTTTATTGCAGAATTGTGAGTTGCGGTTGTTTTTAATGGCTTGGTTAGTACTTTATTGTCAATAGTTGTATGAGGGCAAAGAGTCTGGTTCCTATTGGGACCACTTGATTTATTAATATAAGTGCACATGTACTTGTGACGAAATCCTGTTTGTTAGGGGCAATAGGAAGCAAACTTGCAGTTTTATCAGTGCAGTTCTATTGGCTCTACTGACTTTGGATCGGGGGGTAGAGTTGTTTTGTTTATTTGTAAGACCATGTCTTAGTATTCTTGGCCTAGTAGAGGAAATAGTTTTGTACGGTATAGCAGGCTAGAACCTGTTTAGTTGTATTTCAACTCTCCGATATGAGTGTAAGATTTGCATAAGAGGGCAGGAAGGGAATTGTTTCCGTCCAAATGTGTGTATATATTAAAAAATGCAAGCGCAAGAGTATTATTAAGCATATTTTGTACTTACCCATATCTGCAAATAAGAATGGTAAAAGTATTAACTTAATTGGGGGTGGGGAAATGGTAGTTGGTTGGCTGCAATCCTAAGCAAGCGTTCCTGAAGTTCCATTGAAAATGGTAACGCCCGAGTTGAAATGTGATTGGGGTTCAGTGTATTTGGAACTTTTTGCTTTGTAAATTGAGTTTGGCTGTTTAGCTCAACCAAAGTTGTTGAGGTTTTTGGAGAACCAGAATTGACGGCTGGATTTGTTTTATTAAATACTGGTGCTCTCTTTCTCTATCTCAAGTTAATTTTGTTTTATATTTGTGTTTGGTCATTAATATAAGTAAGAACAGTTTCTGACGTTTAATTTCTCTACCAAAGAATTTTTTGCATAAGAGCTGCAGCATTTGTCTCATATGAAGTACGTTGACAGAAATGTGAGTAATTTATTTTAAAAGATTGTGGTGGCATTTTGCCACAGTGAAAAAAACAATAGTCTGACTTTCTTCAAAACTGAAAGAAATTTCAACTTTTAAGTTTGCATCATAAATATGTATTTCACTGTGTACCAAGTCATTTATTGTTTATAAATATATATATATAAATTTACATCCACATATTCTTTAATTGGACATATTCTTTAACTGAGCTGTTTATTTTTTCCACTGCTATGGTTCTGCTATTAATACATTGTATGAATGCAGCTTGGCCTCCACCCCGTTTTGTCAAGTGTTACCTGCTCAAAGTTGTAGCTGTTTGTCTTTTATTAAGAGAGCATGGCAACATTACAGCTGCTTCAGAATCTGAAAGAGAAGTGCAATACCCTTGGGACTGTAATAGTATCTTCCAGAACTTTGCAATGTAAAATAATATCAAGAAGCTTTATATGTGAGATCTTAGCTTATAGATAACATTCTGATCATACAACTTAGAACCTTTGAAAGCCTTAGTGTTAAATGACTTCGTTTCCTTCAGAAAGCTGTTAGCAGTCAACAGTTACATTTTCAAGTTGCTGAACTTTAATTTAATGACATTTGGAGGGGCGGAGGCGGGGATCTAGATTACCATATGGTGTGTGTGTGTGTGTGTGTGTGTGTGGAGAGAGAGAGAGAGAGAGAGACTCCATAATAGCCTTACTCCAGAGGTTCCTGAAAGTGTGTGTGTACTAGATCTGTGGAGATTGATATAGTACATGTACTGTCTGGATGTGTTCTTGCAGTGGCTTTGGGCTTCAGTGTACCTTTTCATTTTGTCAGCACCAAACTCCACAGACGTTCGTAACAATGATAGGAATTCTTTCCGGCTGCTTTCACAGCAATTCATTTGAGTGCAGATCATGGTGCAGATTCTGCAGACTAAACACAGAACCTCCTATAGACTTCCTTCGACCCACATGAAATTTGATTCAGCCGGTACAGGTCAGCAGCAGAATTCTGTGTCTTGGATCCAATGTAGGATTAGAGGTTTGTGTAAGGTCCTATGTACATATTTCTGCCCATCCGTTAACCATAACTTAGAGATCAGGAGCAACCCATGGACACATGCAGAACACAGGCCCCTTCCTCCCATTTCTAGTATGAATTCCTACCCTCTGTCCTTATCAGCATTAACCATGGTTTAGCTTTACCACTATACTGTCTGCACTCGTGGTTAACAGTCATCAGGTTTCCTCTTAAACCAGTGGTTGCAGACATGCTTCTCAACAGTTTTAAGATGTAAACTCTGGTTAGCATTAACCCTGGTTATTGCTGATGCAGACACATTGTTAAACTATGAATTGGGAATTGCGGCAGCAGGAATAGGAACTGGAGAAGGGAGATAAGAACACACACAGCCTGCTCATATTCTCTTTAACTGTGGCTGTCCAGCATTGTATCTACAGTAGCCCACAGAGCACTCTTACAATTGGAGACATTTAAACTGATGAAAAGTAAGCTATGCCACAGTAAAATGTGTAGAATACAGTCTGACAAGATGTACAAATCTACATGTAGTCAATATTTGGAAGAGGCACTCTACAGTAAACAGGTGAGGAAAAACGGTTAACATAGACAGACGTCCTGAAGGGTTTGAGGTTGTCTTAATGGAGCTTTATTATTATTCTTTTTGCACCCTTTTCTGAAAATTAAGTTTATTTATTTAAATTCTAAACCAGAGATAGAACTAAAGTCCAGTACAGCTCCTGTATGTTAAAGGTCTGTAGTATAAATTCAAACCGAGGCTCAAATGTCTTAAGCCTGCATATTTGCACACAAGCTGGTTTATTTTTTGAGCAAAGTTGATGGAATAAAGTTTGCTTAAATCTTTGTGTGTTGCATTTTATAAGGGTAGTTTGCTTACCACTAGCACAATCGTGTTTGAAGATAACGTAAGCCAGTGTAAAATGGCCAGTGAAATTTGCCCCCAAATTTTATTTTAACATTTAATCAGATGATATGATCCTTGGCTTGAAACAATTTGTGAGAGGTGCAGTTCCTAAATGTCTTGACATTTTGTCCAGAATATCTCTTTGCAACTTTAAATAAAATATACTTTGTGCAAAATGTTTTACCTATATAAATGCCTAAAATTAGTTACAAGCTACTTTTTTTCTTAAGAGATCTTCTATTATGAAGTGCATTTAATATCATTAAGTTAATGAAAAGCATTCCTTGCCCGATGGATGTATACATTTTTGAGAGAATAGCAGAATAATTATATAATTATGAAAAGCTATGTAAAGTTTTTTACATAAAAATATTATGTATAATACTGTTGTATTCCATGCTTTAATCAGGTGGTAAATAAAAGTTTAAAAACAAACTTTCTTTTTCAAATGTAATGATTTCAAGCTTACATCAACTATTTGTATCCAGTCGGATGGGGTGATACTATAGAGGAAAACACAGGTATAACATGCCTGATACCGTCTGGTCCACTTCCCCTTGTAAAATTTTGAGTGAATGAGACCCACTCATTCCACAATAAACACCTTGTCTGGAACCAGCCAAAGTGTGTTCCAATACCGGCAGATCGATGGAACAGCTTGCTATGCGTCACCCAATCCAGTCAAGAATGATACGTTCATAGCAATGATTTCTATTCAAGGATCTTCCCTATGTGTGGTGTCAGTAGTTGCAACACAAGGATCTACTTATCCAGCACTTTGCAGTGTGTCAGACTCCCCTAATGTCCCCAGTGGTGGCTGGGGCTGGTGGGAGTTGGAGTTCAACAACATCTGGAAGACCCCACATTGGTTACACCTGCTGTAAAGGGATACCCCTGGTATAAACATGTACAATTATGTTTACATAATTTTATTGTAAACTGTTTTGCCCATGGACAAAAGTGCACCAGTTCTACCATCTTTTTCCTTTTCAAGAGAAAAAGTAGTTGTGATTTTCAGAACCATTCAGTCCCCTGCTGCTGCTCTTCCAAGGAAGATTGCAACCTCTGCTGCTGTAGTTTATATATATATATATATATATATATGAATGAATGAATAAATAAATATAAACCAGGGCCAATAGTTGCATGCAACTACATGTCATGTTCATCTGCCCTTTTTGTATGTATAAAATTTGTAGCAACGTGCAGCAGGTAGCCGGAAGTTAAATATTTCAGTCCTGTTTTCAAAGTGTCTGCTGACTACAGCACTGCAAAGTGAGCATGTGACGCCTGCAGCATTGTTGAAGTTAAGCTGCTGTGTGTGCACATGAGCAGTATCTGGTCAGAACCCTGGTTGCCCCATCCATATAAAGCGCTCAGAGCTTTCCAAGAGAATGGAATATAAGCATAGTGAATATTTTGCTTTGCTAGTACCCAGTAGCCACCCAGGGCCAGCATATGGTGTACAATTGTCCTAGTTCTGAAAGCTTTATTGCAGCTTTCTGAAAGCTTCATTGTAAAGAAAAGCCCATCCTGGTCTGGTGTTTTCCTGCAGGTGTATACTGCTAATAATGATAATAATGCCTTAGTGGTGGATTTATTCTGCTTTATTAGTTACTCTGTGATGCTTCCCCAATACTACCACATTACTGCTGTCCAGAGGGGCTCCAGGGCAACTAATGTGGGACCAAAAAAATAAAATAAAAAATGCAACACATTTACAGTATGAAGTTACATTATTTCAGCAGGATATGCAGGGACTAGAAACGAAGCAGTATGACTACCCCAAAACTTCTGCTGGCACAAGTATTGAAAGTGGGATTGCATATACGGTAACTGCCGCAATAGCATCATGAGCAGAATTCATGTGCATTGAATGGAAGGGTCCCTATGGAAAGGGTGGAAGGTGCTATACCAGTTACGCTCGGCAGCTGGCAGCAGTGATACACAGACACCAAAGCCTTTCTAGCACAGATGGAAACACGAGCTAGATGTCATGGTCAATCGTGTGCGCTCCCACGACAGCCTCCCACTTATCTCCTTTCCTCATCCACGTTCAAAAGCTCCTATTATGTTTGTGTGTCTGAAGCAGAGTTGCCAACTTTATTCTGGCAACGTACAGGGAGGGCGGTTGAGGGCATTTTTTTAATATAAAAAAGATCTGGTACTGAAGTGACTACAAAGCAATCCATTACCATCTATTGCAGCCTAACAGGAATCTTGAATCTGTCACACACATAACCCACCCCCGCACATACATGAACTTGTAAATCTGTCTGTGCTTGGCTACGCAGAGCCATGACCTTTTTCACACATCCTTTCAAACACATGCAGTTGCGAGATGATCCCTAACTTGGCAGAGAGAAGACCTGAAATATAGGACAAAACTGTATCAATACAGGACGTCGCTTTTTATACTGAAATGCGAGTCAATCCTGTATTATACAGGACAGGTGGCAACCCTGGCCGAAGGTACACAAATAATAATATTAGTTTATTTGTACTCCGACCACCTGGCTGGGTTTTATATATATATAAACATTTAAAAGCTTCCCTATTCATGTACAGAGCAGGGGCAGAAGTTCAAAATGTGATGACGACATCATCATAAACCTTTATAAGAATAATAATAATAAATTTTATTTATATCCCGCCCTCCCCAGCCGAAGCCGGGCTCAGGGCGGCTAACAACAATAAAGCAGTACAAAAGTGCAGCATAAACAACACTCTAAAATCATTCATTATAAAATTAATTAATTAATATCTTTCCCAGCAGCCCATTGATGCCTTTCTTCCAAGTGGAAACTCATTTATACAGAAAAAGACAATCACAATAATGACAATTACTGATCATAGCACTGATTAATTTTATTAATTAATTATTTATTGATTAACTTTACAAGGTGTCCCCGTACGTCCCGCTCTGCCTTCCACCCACCCCTGGGTTAGCCTGGGTGGACCGATGCGCACCAGCAGAACGAAGCCAAAGGACAGCAGCAGCAGCGCCGTCACCCAGCTTCCGGGCGCGCCGCCGCCCTTCTGCTCTCACCCTCCCGGGCCAGGCTTGAGCCAAGCCGCGTTGCCTTGTGGGAAACCGCTGAGCAGGGCGAAGCCCATTGGCCCGCCCGGACTGGGCAGGCTCGCGCTCGGGATTGGCTGGGGCCTTTCGAGAAGGCGGCCGCTGATTGGTGCTCGGCGGGGAAGAGAGGGGAAGAGGCCGCTCGGCGCCCTGCGTAATTCGGTCACTACGTCGCCGAGGTTTGAATGTGAAGCGGAGGAGTTGCTGTCGCCGCCGTCGCTGCTAGTCGTGCTCTCTCAAGGGGTCCCGTCAGGTGAGGCCGGGCGCCTGAGCGGCGGGGGTCCGGAGCCCTGAGTCGGGCCGGGGGGGGGGGAGACGGCGGAGCCCCGAAGGGAGGCGGCCGCGGACCGCCTTCCCCGGCCCTCGGGTGGCTCTCGGCTTGTGGGCCCAGCCGAGGGAGGGGGCGCACCTGAGCATGCTGCGTCTGCCTCGGCCCGCCCCTTCGGGGCTGCGCGCGCCCCCCGTTGGTCCTTGAGCCTAGCCCGTGACGAAAGCGCCCTGTTGATTGGCCACCGCGGCTGCCACTCCGGTGGGCGAAATAACGAGGTGGTGTGATCCGAATATACTTTCAATCACTGTCTCTCCGTTGCGATTTCCCCCTTCGTGGTATTAAGGCCAAGCCTCTCTCCTCGCGGACTCAGCCCGGAGGCCACGGGACTGCTCCATGCTGCGGAGGGAGCGGGATTTGTAGCTCCTGGTTCGCTGAGTGTAGTGAGCGGGTGCCAAGCAAGGCTTAGGCTGCAATCCTCTGCGTGCTTTTCCTGGGCATGAGCCCCACTGAATAGAGCTGGGCTGACTGGTAGCTCTAGAAAGATGTGATGGGTCTCAGGCTTATGCGGAAATAGGGTGTTTCCTAACCTGATTTGGAAGAGACTTGCGGGTGTTCAGTGGCGAGGGAAGGCCACTCTGCACGTGTTCAGAGGTGATTCTTAGGTGCTTGCATGGAATGTTACATTTCAAAGGATTTCCATAAACGTTTGTGGTAATTTTGCATGGCATATTATTTACACATTGCAAATTAGGAGTTGAGAAAGAATAATGGCCACTTCCTGAACTCACAGCACAGGTAATCGACATACCTCTTCTGAATGGTATGAAATAGAAAATAGTAAATGGTATGAAATAGAATATGTTCATATCTCCCAGTATTATTTAGGAGATGTGCAGTAGCATTTTGTAGCAGTGAAACTGGGTTAACAGCGGCTGGATCCTCCTCATACAGCAATGGTTTCTTAAGCAGTGGGTGGACCTTCTCCAGGAAAATGTTTGTAATTGTAGCTAGAAGTTTTCATCTGTCGTTATGGGTCTGGGGTGAAAACACACATCATGGCCTTCACAGTATCAAACAACCTGTGTGCAAACTAGGTCAAACGTGAGCCATGCAACTGCAACAAGTGGATGCTTTTGACACTTCCTCTATAGGTAAACGGTGTTTCCATGTGCTGCTGTGGTTCGCCAGAAGCGGCTTAGTCATGCTGGCCACATGACCCGAAAGCCGTACGCCGGCTCCCTCGGCCAATAACGTGAGATGAGCGCCGCAACCCCAGAGTCGGTCACGACTGGACCTAATGGTCAGGGGTCCCTTTACCTTTACTTACTATAGGCAGTATCTGATTATGCCCCAGTTGGACAGTACCTTAGTAGCTTTTTCAGCAAAATTTAACTGTTACAGTGAGTGGAGTCTAACAGCCCCTGCACCATATGGAAAATTCTGTGTTTTTTACCACTAGTGTTCAAGCTTGTCAGTAAACCAAGAAGCGTGATCTGTGGAAGAGACGCTGGAAGGTCACCCTTGGTTGCCTGATTAACTGCCTCATGCCTCTAACAGGCCATGTATTGAGTTAGCCATGTTCATCATTTCTTGCATCAGATCCATACATTCACGCATGATGTGCCCTCCTCTTTGCTCAACTGTTTATTCTTGGTCCCATGGCTCTCAGTAGATCAGTGATCAGCCTAGAATTTCAGTTCCAGAGTTTCAGAAGAGGAATGAGAGTATAGTGACCTTTCTGTTGCCCAGTTGCGCAGGAGAGGAAATTCTTGTTGTTTCCAGAAGCCTCTCAGTATTATAATCAGTTGTCTGTGTGTACATGTGTGTGAATGATCACTTTGGTTCCTGATTTTGTGTGATGGTCAAGTATGTTGTATGTAACTTATCTAAAACTAAAGAAGAGCAGGAGTTTGGATTTGATATCCTGCTTTATCATTACCCTAAGGAGTCTCAAAGCGGCTAACATTCTCCTTTCCCTTCCTCCCCCACAACAAACACTTTGTGAGGTAAGTGGGGCTGAGAGACTTCAAAGAAGTGTAGCTAGCCCAAAGTCGCCCAGCAGCTGCATGTGGAGGAGCGGGGAAG